ATTATAGTACAATCTTACCTTCATTCCAGGCTCTGCCTCTGATCTGACTGCTTGACTGACATCATCAGTAGTGTTGATCAAAGACAACCACAATGCTTTCCCATAGGACATAATTGGATTGGCCAAGACTGTCAAGACGGCAGATCAGGGGCAGAGCCAGTCCTAGCCAATCTCCTCATAGAGATGCATTGAATCGGAAAGTTCAGTGCCTCCATGCAGAAGGTGGAGACACTGAATGTCAGCACTGCCTCAGGAAGCACCTCTAGCAGCCATCTGAGGAGTGGCCAGTGGAGGTATCCCTAGGCTCTAATGTAAACACTGCCTTTTCTCTGAAAGGACGGGGTTTACTGCAAAAATCCAGAAAGGAATGATTATACTCACCAGAACAAATACAATAAGCTGTAGTTGTTCTGGTGAATATAGTGTTCCTTTAATTTACCTAAATAAGAGATGGAAATGGACATGAAAGTCATTTGATGTTCAAATATAGCACTAAAAATCTTTATTTAGAAACCATTTAAGAGATGGTATTGACGTACATTCTTAATGCATTAGCATGCTTCTTACCTGACAATATTAAAAGGAAAAAATAAAAGAGGATTAATTTTATTGAAACTAACAGTTGTCTCAAGTTCTCTGAAGAGCTGCTGACCGGCGAAACGCGTGTGAGGGCTCATTAGACCTTCAGCCTCTCATCACCATCATCTCTACTTCGCTTATCATAGCAGTCAATAGTTAGATTAACTTTTTGAACTGATTTATTTAAATATTTTTGGGTGGCTGGGGTTTCGGGTTGATACCGCCGATAGCACGTTACACACAGCAATTCTTTTGTTGCGCTTTTCAGGGGATCTCTGTTAGGGAGCTAGATTAGCCACTATTAATGATAGGTGCCCTTGAAGGCACAGATGGACATTTGTATATCTATTAGATTAACTTTTCGAGTAAATATTGGCTTATACTAGCACTAACAGATAATATTTATAAAATCTCGAGCACATTTTTATCTCCAAAAAAGCTTAGAGTTTAGCAGACATTTGAAAGACACCTCATTAAGTTGCATTTGATCATAGCTGGCATATTATAGTGTATGCCATTCTGTTACTCTAATATAACTATTTAGGTGATATTCACCAGTTTCTGGGTTCACCCTTTTGGGTTTCTTTGTAACTGTTGCTAATGCATTTTCAGTTCAATTTACCTTCAATTTATGCTCTTCATTTTTGTTACTAGCATCTTTATTCTTTATTGCAACATATTGAGTTACATAGTATCCACTTGAATCGTCTTAACAAGAAATTTATATTTACTGGGAATATATCTCATACTTATGTCTGCTAACATTGACACTGTCTATTGAGTCAATACTAATTTTATACTCTATAATTTTTTTCTCATGTTCCCTCACCACACATTTAGGTTTATTTATAAGGATTTTTTGTTTTCTATTTAAACATTTGTTTTCTAATTTTACATATTTCATTATTAAAAGTTATGTTTTAAGATAATTTATTTCCTGCTAGTACTTGATCTCGATATAGGACAGTGTGTTCTTTACATTCCTCAACAAGGGTTAACCCCTTCACTGCCCTATGACTTTTCTGGATCCATATCAGCTTCCACTTTGTTTAAATTTGTAAAAGTTCTTGAATAACAGGCAAATATCTAAAAACTGCAAAATATACAGTAACAGGAAAAAGAAAGCACACCCTATTTGAAGAATAATAATCTGTTCATTAGCAGGTCTTAAAATTGGGTAATTGCAACCTCAACATCAAGTTATTGCTGCTAAAGGTGGTTCTAAAAGCTATTGAATCATAAGGTGCACTTAGTTTTTCACACGTTGCTCCTCAATTTTGGCTTTATTTTTGTTAACTAAATCATGACACTGTGTAATATGTTTGCTGTTGTTCATCTGAGGTTGTATTTACCTAATTTTGCCTAATTTTAAGACCTGCTAAGGAACAGGTGATAGGTATTATGTCCTGATATGTAAAACCATAAACTTCAAAGAGGGTGTACTTTCTTTTTCTCGTGTGTATATATATATATATATATATATATATATATACACATACATATACACACACATACATACATACACACACACACACACACTCAAAATTGTCACTTGCCATTAGTCTCGCGAGTCAAAATGTAGCCCTAGCAAGTAGAAATTTACATATGCTGAGTATGCCAATGACTTTCCAGGCTTGCAGTGGTAAGTAACTTTTTTTTTTTTTTCTTTTTTTTTTTTTAAATGGTAAATCTGGTTTTATTAAGGTCATGAAATAAAACAAAACAGTTTTCCCACGCAGGGGATAAGGCATAAGTTTGGAAACAAATTGGGAAACAGTAAGTTTTCGTATGGCTTCTTAATTTTTCCTGGAGCTATATGCCAATCAATAACATAGCGCTTTTCCACTGCCAAACAGTTGTGAATAAAGGTAAACGGGGCACACAGGTCCCACAGGTCCCATAGGTCCCCTGCAAATGGATGCTGAATTGGACCACACAGGGTCTCTAGGCAGTATGTCTGGTAACATGGATAACAGGTGCATAACACCATATACAGGTATGTTTGCTCAACGTTCATTCGTGTCATTCGTTAAGTCATTTTGTCCTATGCCGGCTACTTCCTCACTAAGGGGGTGATTGAGCACTCTCTTCGTTTGAAAGTATGGATCTGTTGTAGTTTTACCTGAGACTGTGCTAGTATGGTCAGAGTCAGTTGTGCAGTACGAAATTGGTTGTTGGTGATGAGGCTGTTGTCACGCATGTAGGTCATTGTGTGGGTTGTTACACAAATGTGCTCCATCTCAGGGGGTCACCCCTGAGCCCATAATGGACTTTTTCCACTGTGCCATGATTAGTAATTTGGTTGGGCAGGAGGGAAGGGATCTGTCTGGATCAGGAAAAAAAGAAAGGATAGCCAAGGAGGAACAAGAGGAAGGCAAGAAAAGGAGTAGTATGATGCTGCAGAGAGGTTAAGTGGACGGATGCAGAGGGAGAAGAGAGCCCCAGAGGAGGAGAGGTGGCAGGCCAGGGCACTCGGGTTGGTGAGTAACTTTTAAAGCCTGGCTAGTAGCTTATAACTTAAAGGAACACTATAGGCACCCACCCAGCACATTGAAGTGGTCTGGGTGCATATTCCCAGGCCCCTAACCCTGGAAAGGTAATTATTGCGGTTTTAATTAATGGATGACATCAGCGGGGAGGAGCAAAGGCAGACCCCGAGCCATTGCCGAGGAACATTGGCGCTGGGCTCCGGTAAGTAACAGAAGGGTATTTTATTACCCTTCTGACCATGAGGAGGGCTGTAGGGATATATATATGTGTGTGTGTGTGTGTATGTATATATATATATATATATATATATATATATATATATATATATATATATATATATATATATATATATATATATATATATATATATATATAGTTCCAATGTCAGCATTGGCACATTACTTATCTGCATGACAACAGGATATTCAATGTGTCGAGCAATAGTACACACCCACACAAACACATTTAGCCCAGAAAAGATGGGCATAAGATATAATTTTATGTGCACATGAATAAGAATATGTGTATTAATAACTGGAGATGAATATCACCTAGATGGTATCTGCCATTAGATGCACACCATTTGCAAGTATGCCTTTCCTTGTCCACGACATATCCCGCTATCATAATCCTGATTTTCAAATGTGTGCACATTGCCAAATCCTATCAAAGTTGGTGCATCTATGCCTGTGAGTAACAAAGATGTTTTTTTCTTAACTCTAAAATTGAACAAAAACTTGAACAAGAACAGATTACAAAGAGTTTACCATATTTTAGCAAATCTTTGGGCCTGATTTGTTCCTTCAACCTCTTTAATATTTGATATAGGGCCCATACAATTGAATCCTTTTACTACTTTCATGTATTTATGGATCAAAAATGGAATTCTTCTGCCTGAAAATTCAGCCTTCCTGATTCTAACACGTTTGGCAAAGAAGCATACACTCAAAAGTTTTACACGCAGTTAAAAGGCAGTGTCTGTCAGTTGTCTATTCGAGCCTTGTCCTCAATAGAAAAACTGACAGATCACAGGAGCTCCCTTTTGTAAACCAATTCATGCTTCTTATTTGTAAGGTTAAAGGTTAAATTGCTAACCTCTGCCCTCCTGCTTAGCAATCTTTCCCTTTTTCTGTATGGCTTTATTTCTTTGCCTGTATTTACATGGATTAGTCCCCTTTCACGCTAAGAAGCAATCCGTTCACAGCCAATGCCTTAGTTCTGGTTGTACAAAAAGCAGCCACAATTATTCAAAGCTAGACAATGACCGTATTGTGGCTTTACAAAACCCTCACCAGACTCTGGCAAGCCCTGTCCTTGCTTCACAAAACAATGGAGCAAGAAAAAAAAATGTTTAAATGAAAAACCCTATCAAGCACTGAACAGAAAGCAAACAAAGCAGGCCTACTGTGAACTTGATGAGGATGTCAGGCTTGGAAAGAAGAAAAATAGAAGATAAACCAACAAGAAAAGAGGTGATCACTTATGAAGTTGTGAAGAAGAATTTGCAATGCATGAATTACTCTTGAAATCCTAGACACTTGGAAAACATTCTTAGCACATGACTAGAGCATGGTATAGCACAAGACGGATAAATATATATTTTTAGGGACAATTTTTGCTACCAATAATCTGGTGTAAAGTTGAGAGGCACTGAAGGTGAAGTAAGGACTAAAAATGTAAATATATAATTAATAGCCAGTGAAAGAATATGGCACACCACAGGGTTGCGTCTAAATTGCAACCTTGTTTGAGTGTTGTTATTACTGTTTAACCACTTTGCCTTATTTTTAATATCTACTTGAAAACAAGATTGAGTTACAACGACAACCAATATTATCTCCATTTATTTACTGCATTTTGATATTCACTATGTAGACTGCTACCAGGTGTGGCTACTAAAATGGATATTGTGGGCCAGTAAGTGAGAGTCCCATGTTTGGTTAGGACACACAGGGAGATAATGATTATTGAGTGATGTCTGAATCCCACGAGACATCGTCTATGGAGGCCTGCACGGTCTGGTGGGAACCTCCATTGACTGCAAAGCTGTACTGTCCGGCATGAACAAGAGTACATCACTAATGCAGTGCCTGGCAGATAAAGCACCAGGAACCAAAGAAGGTATGCAGGAAGAAGAAGGCAGCTATGCAATCTTCTTACAGAAACAAAGGAAACAAGAAGAAAAACTGCTTGGCTCCAAAATCTATAAGTTCAATGTGTCAAGCATTAGTACACACACACTTTTTGTGTAACAGATAACATTCTATATGCACATGAATAAGTATATGTTTAACCCCTTAAGGACACATGACATGTGTGACATATCATGATTCCCTTTTATTCCAGAAGTTTGGTCCTTAGGGGGTTAACAAAACAAATTAGAGGTAAATAAGCTTAAAGATGCTGTGGACTACAATTGGACTACTTTGTCTCACAGTAAAGCCTTAAAGGGAGGGAAGAAAGGCGGAGCTCCACTGTCAACCTTTGTCCAATCCTAGCAGCTGTCATAAGTGACGGTCTGGGATTCAGATATCATCTCACTCATCACATGATGGCTTCCATGGTCTCATGGCATCTTTGTACTCTCGGGCATGAGTGGGAGTACAGCACTGACGTGGCTCCTGACAGATGAAGAGGAAGAAGCTGGCTACATCTATGAGGGACAGCTTTAGATAAGTAAATCTACCTTCCATTGCATCCAAAATCTACTGGAGATATCACCTTTGGAAGTCTTTACAAAATATGTAACAAAACAAAACTGATCTACTTTATTATTTTATTATTTATATAGCGCCATCAGATTCCATAGCGCTGTACAAAGGGTGGACTAACAGACATTTAATTGTAACCAGACAACTCGACGTACAGGAACAGAGAGGTGGAGGGCCCTGCTCAATGAGCTTACATTCTAAGATTTATTATCACTTGTGACAAACAGGCAGTAACTAACAAAACAGCAGGGAAAGGCAGGAGGATGCAAGGTTGTATAGTAACGGATACATGTAGCTAAGAGATGTGGGTGGTCATTCAGTTTACTTGTCATTATTGTATTATTTCCAGTGATGGCTGGAGAAGTTTTACGGTGGTGGTGCACAAGACTCCACACCTTAACTATATATTCTGAAGAAGCCTACCGGGCGAAACGCGTTAAGTGGGACTCTACTTTACATTTTATATATCTTTTTATGTTTTATATTATGTTTTGTTTATATTAAAGTATACTTGTTAATAGTTACTTTTATCCATCCCTTCTTTACTTCCTGGATACTGTATATCTTTGGTGGGGATTATACCACCTAAGCTGTTTGTACTAGAGCAAGTTGTATGCTCATAAAATTGTAAGTACATTACTACTTTTTACCAGCTCAATTATTAAGACGTACTTTACTATTGGCTGCTATTCTCTCTCCCCACTATGCACATTGCACTTTAAAAAAAATGTGTGGACCAACTTGAACAACATATCCTGAGACGGGGATTGTACCGTCCAAGCGCACCACAGCAGAGCTCTGTTATAGCTCATACGAATGTGAGTGGATTTAGCTACAGTTATAATCAGAGCTTTACATATATTTGTACTGTATTGCACTATTTTTTTATTTTTCATTCCGAGGTTCTTTTGATTCGTTGGAAGTAACCATTACCATATGCATGAAAAGGAAAGGAGATATGTCGGGTGCTCACTCCAAAGATAAACAGTAAATAGGCAGCAGTAACAAAAACAAGGATTCCCAGCCTTGATAAGAAACAGTATAAAAAAAAGGGAGGAGAGAAACCGCGCCTTATATGAATTAAATATACATACACTTGATGTCTCTTAGTGGTTGCAGGTAATTTGTCCTCAAAAAGAAAACAAAAAAAATATATACAATAGTGTAGTATTTTTAACAATATTGAGAAGGAATAATAAATAAAACGAAGGTATTTTACACTCACATTTGGTAGAGCTACTGTGGGAGCTCTACCGTGATAGGCGTGGACGGTACAATCCCCGTCTTAGGATGAGAAGTCCAGCGTCTTGAGTACTCCAGTGGTGTGGTGGTATAGATAAAAGAAATACAGAGAACTCCAATGGTGTAGTAATATCCAATAACAGTATAAATAGGTAAATATAAGTATATTATACTCACATTTGCTAGAGCAGATAACTTGCTCTAGTGTATAAGGTATGCAGTGGTATAATCCCCACTGTAGGATATACAGGCCAGGAAGTATGATGGTATATATATAAAATGAGGATAAAATATAGCTTTAAAAGTATATTTAATAGTAATACAAATACAATGAAATAAAAAGCTATATAAAATAACACAACGCGTTTCGCCAATGGCTTCATCAGAACACTTCTGATGAAGCCATTGGCGAAACGCGTTAAGTGTTATTTTATATAGCTTTTTATTTCATTGTATTTGTATTACTATTAAATATACTTTTAAAGCTATATTTTATCCTCATTTTATATATACCATCATACTTCCTGGCCTGTATATCCTACAGTGGGGATTATACCACTGCATACCTTATACACTAGAGCAAGTTATCTGCTCTAGCAAATGTGAGTATAATATACTTATATTTACCTATTTATACTGTTATTGGATATTACTACACCATTGGAGTTCTCTGTATTTCTTTTATCTATACCACCACACCACTGGAGTACTCAAGACGCTGGACTTCTCATCCTAAGACGGGGATTGTACCGTCCACGCCTATCACGTTAGAGCTCCCACAGTAGCTCTACCAAATGTGAGTGTAAAATACCTTCGTTTTATTTATTATTCCTTCTCAATATTGTTAAAAATACTACACTATTGTATATATTTTTTTTGTTTTCTTTTTGAGGACAAATTACCTGCAACCACTAAGAGACATCAAGTGTATGTATATTTAATTCATATAAGGCGCGGTTTCTCTCCTCCCTTTTTTTTATTACCATATGCATGTACTATTTATATTTTAAACAGCGCGGTTTACATCTTTTCTTTTTTAACTATATATTCACAATCTCATCATCTGTGGCATCTGTCCGCATAAGCTCATGTATTCAACTGCTAATAGTTGTCCACACTACAATACTCAGGGCTGCATACTATACAGAGTTAAGCATACAATACTCAGAGCTGCGTGCATTATATAGATACATCCATATTCTAATCTAAAGCTAGCTACAATATAGAGATATCTATACAATACAAATTAGGGATCGACCGATATTGATTTTTTAGAGCCGATACCGATACCGATATTCTGTGAACTTTCAGGCCGATAGCCGATATAATTTGCCGATATTCTGTACATTTACCATTTTGGAAAATAAAAACTATTTCTAAAGGTAAATGCACAAAATATACATGCCACGTGTAGTGGATGCAGTGTGACAGGGGAGCTGTGTGTGTGTGTGTGCAGTGGATGCAGTGTGTGTCTTTGTGTAGTGTGTGTGTAGTGGATGCAGTGTGTTAATTCCTGCTTGGTTCACTGCTGCCCACCTTTAGTTTATTTAGTGAGCGCCTAACTCCTCTTTGTTGTGTCTTTGTGTAGTGTGTGTGTAGTGGATGCAGTGTGTGTTTGTGTAGTGTGTGGGTTGTGGATGCAGTGTGTGTTTGTGTAGTGTGTGTGGAGGATGCAATGTGTGTTTGTGTAGTGGATGCAGTGTGTATTTGTTTAGTGTGTGTAGTGGATGCAGTGTGTATTATGTAGTGTGTATATAATGAAAGCAGAGTGTTTGTGTAGTGTGTGGGTAGTGTGCGTAAAGTGAATGCTGTATATACTAAATGCAAAGTGTGTGTGTATATAATGAATGCAGAGTGTGTGTGTGTATTTGTGTAGTGTGTGTATAGTGAATATAGTGTGTGTATATAATGCAGTGTGTTTGTGTAGTGTGCATTATATAAACACACTACGCAAATACACTGCATTATATACACACACTATGCAAACACACTGCATTATATACACACACTACACACACAAACACTGCATTATATAAACACTACACAAACACACACTGCATTATATACACACTGCACAAACACACACTGAATTATATAAACACACTACACAAATACACTGCATTATATACACACACTACACAAACACACACTGCATTATATACACAGTGTGTTTGTATAGTGTGTGTATATAATGCAGTTTGTGTGTGTGTATATAATGCAGTTTGTGTGTGTTTGTATAGTGTGTGTATATAATGCAGTTTGTGTGTGTTTGTATAGTGTGTGTATATAATGCAGTGTATTTGTGTGCATTGTATACAAACACACACTATACAAACACACACTGCATTATATACACAGTGTGTTTGTGTAGTGTCTGTGTATATAATGGAGTGTGTGAGGGGGAATTTTTTATTAAATTATTTTTATATATATATATTTAATTATTATTTTTTGTCCCCCCTCCCTGCTTGTTGCCTGGCCAGGGAGGGGGGATATGACAGTCCCTGGTGGTCCAGTGGTATTGGCTGAGCTTTGGGGGGGCGGAGAGCAAGCGCTTACTCACCTCCCAGCAGCTCCTCCAGCTCCCCAGTGCAACTCTCGCGGCCAGCGTGTCGCGCGGAGCGTTGCCATGGTGATCCATGGCAACGCTCTGACGGCCGCGGGTCTCGCGAGAGTTGCACTGGAGGAGCTGCTGGGAGGTGAGTAAGCGCTTGCTCTCCGCCCCCCCAGGACCGCCGGGCTTGTAATGAGCCTGGCGGTCCTAGGAGGTATTATCGGCAATATCGGTATCTGAATTGGCCGATACCGATATTGCCGAAAATACCGAATATCGGCCGATTATATCGGTAAAACCGATAATCGGTCGATCCCTAATACAAATAACAGAGTACAATACAGAACAGAGTACAGTAAGAAGATACCAGCACAATACGCAGAACTTGGCACAACACAAATATCCATAAAATAAACAATTGCTTTCTGTTGCTACTGCTATGAAACATATCAGCAACTCTTGGCAAACATTTAGCTCTCAGCATACAGTGTGCACAGTGTTAAAGCAGCAGAATACTAATATACTCCTCATTACCTTTGCAGCTGGCAATATGATTAATCTGCAGTGGTAATATAGAGCCAGTTGACATTGTTAACAGAAGCAGTAATCATTAAAGATTAAAACTAGCAGAATCAGCTCAGTCCTTACAGTTACAGCCTTACAGTTAGGTCCTGCAGTGTGGAGCTTCACAGCTTTTCAACTAGCCACAACATGAGTGTCTCAGAGTCACTGAGCACTTTAAATAAGATGATAGCAACTTGGCGCAGAGACTATACTATGCAGTACATACTATGAAAATTATTACTGACAGGCACAACAGTGATGCTTGTCAAATAAGGCCGTCACTTTCCAAATGGCAATTCAATGGTAAGCCCCTGAAATTCCTTCTTGAAAGAAACTAAGTGGCGGAGCCAGTGCCTAAGCGATATAGCCGCGCACGGACAAAGCTCACTTGTACCACACAGATCTGTGTTTCCCACTTACCCACCAGTTCTATTTGCAGCAACAGTGGTGAGGCAACCAATGGGGAAAAAGACCAAGAAACACCCAGCTGATCCCAGCTACGGGTCCCAAGATATCAGGATTTTTATGAAGCAGACTCCGAGACCAGCATTCCCAAAGAAGGTGCCCAGAGAGGCCTACTCCTCAACCTCATCGGAGGCAGGCAGTTTGTCTGCAGAACCAGCAAGCTCCTTGTGGGCATGTGTTGCCCAGATGGTGTAACCATCGCAGGAAAATAGCACCCCCTCAACTAAAGCAGAAATTAAGGCCCTTTTGAAGGTTATCAGAACCATGTTCCGAAAAGACATAGCAGTGGTAAAGGAGGTGATATCCGCATTGACCACCTGCAGACATGGAGGAGGAAATGAGGAGCGTTACAGTGGTGCAAACAACAAGCTTGTGTCTGTAGGGATTTGCTCCTTACATACACAGTGTGCAGATTTGACTGCACGACTGGCCAGTGTGGAAGATAGGGCAAAAACCCAGAATGTGAGTATTTGGGGGAGGGGTCCCTGAGACCACAGCTAATGAGGTTCTCTCTTATTATATCAGGCGGGTACCCTCTACTATGTTGACACAAAGACAAGCTAAGCAAACAGAGACATATGCCTGCTTTCAGCTTCCTAAAGCCAAAAAGACAACACCAGATGCCCCAAGGGATGTAATGCTCTGCTTATTCCAGGACTCAGAAAGGGGTGCCCTTACGCAGGATACCTGAAGCTCTCCAGCTATAACCCTCGAAGATTTCCAGCTTATTGTTTTTACAGGGACTTCTCCATACATACTATAAAATGGAGACAAACATTATGGAGTAACCTACTTTATTAAGGACAATTCAGTTCCCTATAAGTGGGGACTGATTCGCCTTCTAAAAAAGTTGGCAAGACATACTTGCTGTCACTCCTGTCTGAGGTGTCAACCTTTCTTGGGTAACTGGATATGCTAAAGGAGAACTGCACCAGCCTCCAACCGCCCTACCTGGATAGTTGAGATATTCACCTCTTTTGCACTGCGGAGATCTATGACTGGAGGAGAGATGCCACTTTACCTGAGCCGTGGGGAGGCACCACATGCTGAATTTATTTTATGTGTTTCGATCTGCTGATTTTCCTTTAGTTTATGCCTTTGTAAGCTACTAGATAAAATTTATTTGGTAGCAGGAATCCCCACGCCCCCATTTGTGTCTTTAACCCCTTAAGGACACATGACATGTGTGACATGTAATGATTACCTTTTATTCCAGAAGTTTGGTCCTTAAGAGGTTAAGCAAATTGGGTCCAATTAATATTTCATGGTGGCACATTAGTTTAGCTGACAGTGTCTTCAGTTTGTAATGAGAATATTAGATGAGATGCAGATGGGTTGTGGAGACAACATGTTTTGTAACTATAGCCATATAAAATAGGGTCACACCTTCACATATGTACCTTTAACAGTAATAACGCCGTGCCTCTACGCTACAAATTATGCTGGATTATTGTTTTTATTTTGTCTACAAAAACAATACATAAAAAAAAAGAAACAAAGAAAACTAGGCATGTGCAAAGTAGATTTCAAATCTCAAGAAAGCTTTTCCAGACAGGAACGAATCAGGGCGGAGGGGCCCTTCGGTACTGAAACCTAATACAGGATTAAAGAGTGACAGATATATATATTTTCATTTTAATGACAGACATATAAGCAATGGTTTGGGTATCTTAAGCTCCTCCCCCCCCCATTTTTTTTTAGTTTACCCCCTCTTAGTCACAGTCAAAAAGAAGGTGCGCTGTTGCTTTAAAAATAGTGATTTTAAAAAAACACTTAAAGTGCATATATAATATAAAGTGCCCCGTGCAAAGCAATAATTATCCAGTTAATATCTGTTGTGCAAAACTGTGTAATCATAAACTTACTCAAAAAACTTTTAGTAGAGAATGATGGAATTTCGCAGTCTTTGTGTGCTTCTTACAAAATCACTCAGTGATAGTAAATGAAACAAAAAGAAATATGTACATAGCGTATTACCGTATGACATGAGGACGCGTTTACGTCACGACGTTGAGTGTGCCGTTCCGAAGCCCTGCCCCCTGAAAGCAGTCCTGTGTATCCACGCTGCGTGGTATTGCATGAGCCATCCATCCATCTCTCTCTATCCATCCATCCCTCCCTCCCTCCCTCTGGATGGATAGAGAGGGATGGATGGGATGGAGAGGGATGGATGGATGGAGGAATAGGGATGGAGAGAGAGTGTGTGTATGTTTACTATATTTACGATTTGTGTGTTTGTATACAAACAATATATAGAGAGATATCTCTATATATAGTGTTTCTATGCAAACACAAAGTTTGGGCTGAGGAGGGTTGCGGTAGGAGGGGGCAGGCATAGACAGCGAGCTGAGCTGTCAGTCAGCTCAGCTCGCGACCGCGCAAACCGCGGTAGAGCGCTGAGTTCATTCATAGGGCGTCATTCAATGCCGCTCTATGAAGAACGCGATTGGTGCAGCGTGAAGACGCGCATGTGCACCAGATCGTTATGATGCTTCGCTAAGAGAAGTGTCTGATTGAGCCCTGCTACATTTTGACGAAAAAGGGGGAGCGGCCTGCCGAGCATCTCTGCGCTGGAACGGAGGTAAGTTTGATCTATAATAAGGACTCGAAAATAATTTTAAGAAGGGGAAGTTAACATAAAAACAAGAAAGAAGGCTAGGGGGACCTGTCTTTCTTGCTTTTATATGTAGACTATAGTGCTTCTTTAATGAAAACTCCAAAAGCTGTGGGAAGGATTTAAATTTTTTTATTTATTATAATTCTTGTTTGTGCCACGATAAGCCCCATTCTCTTTTTTTACTTACTGCTTCCTCATACTTATCTCCTCATTCATAAAAATCCCGGTTTCTCTCTCTCAATAGTGTTCTAGATGGGCCGAATGGTTCTTATCTGCCGTCACATACCATGTTTCTACGTTCTTTCTCCAAATAAAGTATCCTAATAAACCCAGAGCCACAACATTTTAGGCACTAAAGTAACCATCTATATTAAAGTTACATCTTACTGATGGTTAACACTGCTGATTAACAATAATACAATTGGCATCAAATTAGGCGGAATTGTATTCCACGGGGCCAGTCTGTTGAATGTTAGCAGTGTGAATAGGATTCAGTTGGGACCAATCCTTGGGCTTCAGAAAGCAAACCATTTCCTAAAGTAAAGACGGAAGTACTTCAACTGCTCCCAGACTCCAGTAGGAACAAGCTTGAGCCTTTCAGATGCTAATGGGGTCTTTGCCCTCAAACAATGATGAACTGCTTTGGAGTTAATAGATTTCTCTAGAAGAGATTCATCTCTCTCCATCCAACAAAGCAGGATGTTTTGGAGGGAAAGTAGAAAACGTGTGGTTGGGTTTCTAAATAAGTCCTTTTACATGCTTTGTCTTAACACATAAGCTGCATTTCCCTTACTAATCCGCAACACTGCATGAACACAACAGAATGTTAATAACCCTTTCAATGCCAGTTTGAGTACAGCACACAGCGCTTCCTTGCAAATTCTATTTGCCCAGTTTGTGCAACACGGTGTAAAGCAGTTAAAGCTGTGTTATACATAGGAGTATTCTGGCTGCTACATCATTTGGAGCAAACAATAGTGCATTTCTAGATGCATGGAGAAGCAAGTTTGGTCTGGTTAGTGTGTGTGTTGATTTTTTGTTTTTTAAATAAAGTAAATTCTGAAGGGAAAAAAAACTGTACATAATAAGGGCCTACACTAGAAGATGTGAAAACCTGTTTTGATTATCTAGGAACAAGGAATCTGGAAGAGGGAAAGTACAGCTGTAAATTTTGAATTATTATTCTACACATTTTGTTGCTGCATGGAATTCTGTGCACATCATACCAGTGTTGTGTGACAATACTTCGCACAAGGCCATTAGACTCACTGGGAGTCTGTCATCAAAGTAGTTTCCCAGCATACAGCTTGTAAAGTGTGACGTCTCACTTGATTAACTCTAAAAAAAAAAAAGTGTATTGCTCAAACAATGAAATAATCAAAAACATCTGAACCTCATATTATTAAACAGACTCCTTGTAATAGGTCTGTCCTTCAAAATCCATATACTGGAGAATATCTACCGGTAATTGTAATAAGAATACAAGTGTATATTTATATATGTTTGTATAACACACACGCCCATACACACATGCACGGACACGGAAAAGATCCACAGCTGTAAAATATTTCTTCAGTAAAGCATGGAATTTTAATTTAAAGACCATGACTCTAAGCTATTTGTTTACCTACTGGATTCTGGCTTTTACCACCCCGCAAGATAACAAAATTGAGCCAGAGTTCAAGGAACTCAAAGGATTTGTTTTATAAATATATATATATATATATATATATATACACATACATACACACACACACACACACACACACACATACTTAAATATAAATATATATATATATACACACACACACCCCTACGTGTGTGTTTTTGTGTATATACACACACACACACACACACACACACACATCTAGATAATCAGAAATAACAGCTGCAAATCAAATAATCAGCACACTCCTATACTCTCTTAACCCCTAACACTCACTCTTTATCTTCACCACCTCTGCCTGTTACACTCTAGCCCAGCTTTCTACATCACTGCATCTCCTCTCTATGCCTCCCCTGGCCTACTCCCAACTTCCACGTTTTTTTTCTGGAAGTGCATACCCATCTGAGTAATGCTCTATTTGCCCCTCCTCTAATTTTCCCTTTTCTCCCTCAGTATCAAAATCTCTCCTTACACCTACTTCCCTCAACCTCCCAATAACCTCCACATTAACCCCTCTATGCTGCAATCCCACCTTCTTTCATCTTATGCACTGCACTCTTTTCTCTCCATCCTTCTCCCACTCGACATCCATATAAAACCCTCTCACACCTTCTGTCTCTATCTCTCCTCCTGCTTCTAGCAGCTGGGGATGTCTCTCCCAACCCAGAGCCCGTGTTCTCCCCTACTCACACTAAGTCAACCAGAAATCACACAAACCTCATCCCAATACCATGCCTTCTATCCCAATCTACCAATATTCAGTGTGTACTCTGGACGCCCGCTCCATCTGCAGCAATATAAAATCAACAGCCATACATAACCTCTTCATCTCAAATTCTTTCACACTTCTTGCACTCACCTGGCTGTCCCCCTCTGATACTGCAGCTCCTGCTTCCTTATGTTATGGTGGGTTACAATTCTCCCAAACTCCTAGACCAAACAACTGTAAAGGAGGTGGTGTAGGTATGCTTCTCTCCCCTAAATGTACCTTTCAACCTATCCTCCCTGCCCTATTCTTTACTTCCTTTGAAGTTCCCACTGTCCATCTGTTTAAACCCACTCCTCTAAGAAATGCCATAATTTATCGCCTCTCCCCACCATCTGCTGTCCATTGACATCCGCATACACCCCGTACCCAAAGTACACCACCCTCACCACATTAGTCTGAACGCTGCTGGAGAAAGTCTCACTCTGCGTCTGACTTCTTCCAGTATAAATTTATGGTGCGGTCCTACAGTCTGACTCTTTCCTCTTCAAAAGAAAACTACTTCAATACACTAATAACCACGCTCACCTGTGAGCCCAAATGACTGTTTCATGCTTTTAAGTCTCTTCTGCGCCCTGTCGTGCCTCCTCCTAACAACTTGACCTCCATAAACTTTGCAACTCACTTCACTGATAAGATCTCTCATCTCTCTCCATCCACTACCAACTTTCCCCCTAGCCACAGTGCCTCAGCTGTCCTATGCTCATTTGCACCTGTTACAGCAGAAGAGGTTTCTGCTCTGCTCCATTCCTCTCGCCCCACCACCTGTTCCCTCAATCCTATTCCCTCGTATCTCATCCGCACTTTTTCTCCTTCTCTTGCTCTGCCTCTCACAATTTTCAATCTCTCCCTCTCCTATGGCACATTTCCTCTACCTTTTAAACATGCAACCGTAACCCCGATTCTGAGAAAGCCCAATCTTGATCCTAATTTCCCGTCCAACTACCACCTTATCTCTTTTGTCTCCAAGATTCTTGAGAGAGTTGTGTATGCGAGATTGACAGACTATCAAGGCCATGCTTACCTGGGGGTCCCCAGCCGTGTCTACGTCCACTTCTGCTGCAGTCCCTCCTCGCTGCACGCCCAGGACTCCAACGGGTCCGACCGCAAGGACAGGCAGCCGGCATCCCTCTAACTGGTGGACGCGGCTCTCCACACCACGCAGTGACCCGCAGGAAGCTCCAGCAGAACCCACGTGTAAACTGCACTCACTCTAGTGATAGCTGGACTCTTAAAGCTGCCTGTTATACTGTTCCTGAACCTGCGCTGCCTGCCCTCGACCTTGGCTTACCCTGACTATTAGACTGTTTTATCCTCAATTGGTACCTCGCTTTTGGCTCACTACTGCCACCTGTCAAAGACCCAACAGAATAACTGAGCCTAACATGGAGCCCTCAGTGTTAGCCAAAACGCTAAACGCCCTGACCAGACAAGTATTCACGCTAATGCAAGCCATACAAGAATTACAGACACGTGCTTCTTCCCTTGTTACTGGATCTCTGCATGCTAAGCCTGCAGCCCACCTGATACCTCTGCCAGAGGATCATGCCGTGGCACCAGAACCACAAGTTTCTTTGCCATATCGCTTCCCGGTTGACAGATCTAAATATCGTTCCTTCATCATGGTGTGCGAACTGTTATTTGATTTAAAACCTAAGACTTATTATTGCAATTGTGTCAAAGAGCGCACCATTATCACCCTTCTCTCAGGTCCACCCAAATAAGGGGCCCATGATCTCCTGCGCATCAATGACCCCAGTGTTCAAACATGAAATGCATGAAATTTTGTTACTGCCATGACTGCTATGTATGATGATCCTAATAGATAAGATACTGCTCAGACTGTCATTAGAGCATTACATCAAGGACGGAGACCTGTTGAGGACTACATAACAGATTTCAAGCCATATGCCATAGACACACGTTGGAACGAGTTTGAGTTAATCAATTTTGCCTAGATTTGTCTGAATCATTAAAAGCCAAATTTGCTCATTTTGATATACTAAACACTTTGGAAGACTTTATGCAACAGGCTTTTCAGCTAGACCGACAAGAAAAGGCAGAAACTTATGCTCCAGCTTCAAAAAATATTTTCAAACTATTCCCCTACTTCTTCGGTCATGGATCCCACACCCTCAAAAGAAGAGCCTACGCAAGCAGGTCTCATAAAAGGAAAGTTACCCCCAGCCAAACTTCAAATACGAAGAGGAGAAAACCTGTGTCTCTATTGTGGGCATCCTCATCACACAGTGAGAACCTGTCCTGAAAAATCCACTGGTAAGCAGATCAACCTGATTACTATAATTTCCAGTTTATTCACCTCTACTCCACCCTTATCTGTATCCCTTTCCTTACAGTGGAATGAAAACAGCTACGCATGTTAAGCTCTGATTGGCTCCGGGGCAAGTGGCTTTTTTTGGACATTGACCTGGCACATTCACTTTTCATTTCTGTACACAATAAAAGCACTCCACTACGAATACAACTTGTGGATGGGTCCTTCTTGCAATCTGGTCCACTTACCAAACAAACTAAACCAATATTAGTGTCAATAGGGAAACATTCTGAGACATGGACTTTTGATTTGGTTTCTTCCCCTTTGTTCCCTGTTATTTTGGGTATACCTTGGCTACGGCAACATGATCCTACTATTTCCTGGTCTACTGGTACCGTATCATTCTCTTCACCCCATTGCTCTCAGCCTTGTTTAAACACAACCAAAAAGAGTTTTATTCATTCTATATTGGAGATCAACATGAAAAAGGAGCAAGAGGTTTATAAGGAGTATCAAGATGTGTTTGAGAAAAAGGCAGTAGAAACCTTACTACCCGTCGGATATTGGATTGCCCAATCGACTTGCTGCCAGGAGCACCTATTCCTTCTGGAAGAATATACCCCTTATCAGAAAAGGAACTCCATATCCTAAAGGAATACATACAAGAAAACCTAAAGAAAGGATTTCTCCGTCCTTCTACTTCTACTGCAGGTGCTGGAATATTCTTTGTGGGGAAGAAAGATGGCAGTTTAACACCTTGTGTGTATTACAGAGAACTCATTCATATCACTATAAAAAAACAAATATCCACTACCCCTTATTCCTGAACTTATAGAATGCCTCCAATCTGCTCGTATATATTCTAAACTTGATCTAAGAGGTGCCTATAACCTGCTCAGAGTCCAAGAGGGTGATGAATGGGAAATGGCATTTTGTACCCGGTAGGGTTATTTTGAATATCTGGTTATGCCCTCCTGTAATGCCCCTGCCTCTTTCCAGCATTTTCTCAACAATGTGTTTCATGACCTTCTTGATCAATATGTAGTCGTCTACTTAGATGACATAATGGTCTTCTCCCCATATCTCCAAACCGATCACCTATATATGACTGAGGTAATGAAAAGTTTAAGGAAATTTAATTTGTATGCAAAAATTAAAAAATGCATCTTCTAAATACACTGTGTGGAATTTCTGGGTTTTATCATTAAACCAGGTAAAGTGGAAATGGATCCCAGAAAAGTAAATGCTATCCTGAAATGGTCCACACTAGGGATCGACCGATATTGATTTTTTAGAGCCGATACCGATACCGATATTCTGTGAACTTTCAGGCCGATAGCCGATATAATTTGCCGATATTCTGTACATTTACCATTTTGGAAAATAAAAACTATTTCTAAAGGTAAATGCACAAAATATACATGCCACGTGTAGTGGATGCAGTGTGACAGGGGAGCTGTGTGTGTGTGTGTGCAGTGGATGCAGTGTGTGTCTTTGTGTAGTGTGTGTGTAGTGGATGCAGTGTGTTAATTCCTGCTTGGTTCACTGCTGCCCACCTTTAGTTTATTTAGTGAGCGCCTAACTCCTCTTTGTTGTGTCTTTGTGTAGTGTGTGTGTAGTGGATGCAGTGTGTGTTTGTGTAGTGTGTGGGTTGTGGATGCAGTGTGTGTTTGTGTAGTGTGTGTGGAGGATGCAATGTGTGTTTGTGTAGTGGATGCAGTGTGTATTTGTTTAGTGTGTGTAGTGGATGCAGTTTGTATTTGTTTAGTGTGTGTAGTGGATGCAGTGTGTATTAGTGTAGTGTGTATATAATGAAAGCAGAGTGTTTGTGTAGTGTGTGGGTAGTGTGCGTAAAGTGAATGCTGTATATACTAAATGCAAAGTGTGTGTGTATATAATGAATGCAGAGTGTGTGTGTATTTGTGTAGTGTGTGTATAGTGAATGTAGTGTGTGTTTGTATAGTGTGTGTATATAATGCAGTGTGTTTGTGTAGTGTGCATTATATAAACACACTACGCAAATACACTGCATTATATACACACACTATGCAAACACACTGCATTATATACACACACTACACACACAAACACTGCATTATATAAACACTACACAAACACACACACTGCATTATATACACACTACACACACTACACACACTGCATTATATACACACACTACACAAACACACACTGCATTATATACACAGTGTGTTTGTATAGTGTGTGTATATAATGCAGTGTATTTGTGTGCATTGTATACAAACACACACTATACAAACACACACTGCATTATATACACAGTGTGTTTGTGTAGTGTCTGTGTATATAATGGAGTGTGTGAGGGGGAATTTTTTATTAAATTATTTTTATATATATATTTAATTATTATTTTTTTGTCCCCCCTCCCTGCTTGTTGCCTGGCCAGGGAGGGGGGATATGACAGTCCCTGGTGGTCCAGTGGTATTGGCTGAGCTTTGGGGGGAGAGGAGCAAGCGCTTACTCACCTCCCAGCAGCTCCTCCAGCTCCCCAGTGCAACTCTCGCGGCCAGCGTGTCGCGCGGAGCGTTGCCATGGTGATTCATGGCAACGCTCTGACGGCCGCGGGTCTCGCGAGAGTTGCACTGGGGAGCTGCAGGAGCTGCTGGGAGGTGAGTAAGCGCTTGCTCTCCGCCCCCCCAGGACCGCCGGGCTTGTAATGAGCCTGGCGGTCCTAGGAGGTATTATCGGCAATATCGGTATCTGAATTGGCCGATACCGATATTGCCGAAAATACCGAATATCGGCCGATTATATCGGTAAAACCGATAATCGGTCGATCCCTAGTCCACACCCCAGAATAAGAAACAAATTCAACATATATGTGCATGCAACACAAATATTATGCAGATCAATCAAATGTTTCTCATAGAGACATAGTACATCCAAAGCTTCTTTCTGAGAAACATTGAAAGTGTTTTTCGTCATCATATTGTGCATGAAGACATTTTATTGTAGGATATGTAATGGGTAGCTATGGTAACAAAGGTAAATATATGTATTTATTTGTTCATTTTAAATAGAAAACAAGTGCAAACTACTGCCCCATCTCCCACGTTAATGACTTTGTCAAACTTCATAAAACACACTGCTAAACTTGGTAGATGTAGCCAGGTATGACACTTTTCGTTCTGATGTTACATGTATCAAACATGTAAATTCAAAACAACAATACAGATAACGTTATTCACTAAAGAGTGAATTGTTGGGAATTTAAAGGATCACTATAGTGCCAGGAAAACAAACTCGTTTTCCTGGCACTATGTAGTCCTTAGGTCCCCCACACCCTCATGGCCCCTCTCCCGCTGGACTGAAGGGATTAAAACACTTACCTTTCTCCAGCACTGGGCTCCCTCGGTGCTGGGGAACTCTCCTCCTCCTGCCGACGTCAGCGCCGAATGCGCATGCTCGGCAAGAGCCTTGCGCGCATTCAAACCGCCCTTAGGAAAGCATTACTCAATGCTTTCCTATGGACGTCAGCGTTTTCTCACTGGGATTTTCACAGTGAGAAAGTGGAAGCGCCTCTAGCGGCTGTCATTGAGACAGCCACTAAAGGCTGGATTAACCCTCAGTGTAAATATAGCAGTTTCTCTGAAACTGCTATGTTCACAGCTGCAGGGTTAAAACCTGGGGGACCTGGCACCCAGACCACTTCACTGAGCTGAAGTGGTCTGGGTGCCTATAGTGGTCCTTTAAAGTCAATTATTAATTCACAGGCCAAAATAGCCACACTGACAATACAGGTGAGTTGGGGAACTTTTCTAATTTCGCTATTGTGATCTAGAGATCGATTTCTAACAATTCATACTTTAGTGAATAAGCCTAAACGTGTCTAAGAAAACCACAGATTAACAGAACCACAAAAAGTGACAAGAATTAGTGGTGAAATTAGTAGATGAGGCATGTCAATAAACACAACAAAAAGGTCTTCTTTATTCTGAGTAACTTTAATCAGCTAGTTACATAAGTGGTGCAAGTAAGCCTAACAAAGCAATCTATCAAAATGGTATGTTTAAAACAGAAACAAGCAGGTCAATAAAATGTAACAAAAAACTACAAACCTACACATGGGGTTTTCTCTATTCAGTGGATATAGGCGCATACATATAAGGGGTTATTTTCCTGTATTTCTCTACTCACTGCTCTCACAAAATCTCAACCTGTGTGTTCTGGCTTTGGTTCAGTGACAGTTTAATTTTAAACGCAATTAGGTTGGAAACTGTGGCATGTTCCTTTAAATATGTGACATTCGACAAACAAATGTAGAGAAGACAATCGAGATATACATAAACAATCTGGACAAATAATCTAATTTAAAGTAATTTTAGTAGGCCACTAATGTTGAGGATTTATTTCTTTATGAAAATCATCATTATTTTACCTATATACCGATTTGCACCAAATTCAAGGATGTGAAGACACAGACTAGCACTTAATACAAATGTTTAAATATGAGATGGTTTATTGCAGGGGTGCTTGAAAGGTAGATCCCCAGATGTTTTAAAATTACAGCTTCCATGATGCTTTGTCATTCTAAAAGCATTCTAAATGCATGCAAAGCATCATGGGAGTTTTAGTTCCACAAAATCTGAGGATCTACCTTTTGTTGACCCCTGGTTTATTGCATGTGACCTGTAACTATGAGCAGGGAGCCATGGGAAAATGATACCCACTACTCACATCATCTTGAGCAGGGAGCAGTCCCAATCACCCAGATGTTTTTGTGGGGGTAAGAATATCTTTAGACACCACCTAAAGTAACTATTTTAATAACATTTATTGAGTTTACTAAAATAGAAATTGTAACCAACCTACAATAAAAGAAAGCACAATGGTCCTGGAGTTACCACTGTTAAGTGATTACAGGTGAATGTTTTTAGGTGAGCAAGATAAGCATACTGAAGGATACACATCATAACAAAAAATGCATTTTTGTAAAGAAAGAGCAAGTTAAAAAAACATAACCGTAATACTTCAGTAGAATACTCAAGTCAAAAGAACCATATTTTAGATATATGAACGTATTAGGGGAGCAGCACCTTTTAGAAAGGAAAATGTTATGAGTGCAACAGGATCGCTGAGCATGATGATTGCCCGAGGGCAACAGCATGTTACACAAAGCAAAACATGTAAGGGCAGCAGCTTCAGTCAAATAGATTAAAGAGCAGAACTGTACCATTCACGAAGACGAGTAAATGGATGATAGAATACTGAAATGCAAAGGATGAGTGAACAGAGGGCAAGGGCTAGAAGGTCAAGTGAACTGAAAAGATATCATCCAGAATGATGAGCAAGTGGAAAACAATACAGTAGCAAAACGTACTTCAAATAGAAAAGTGTTTAAATGGTACAATTATAAACATGAACACTTATTTGAACATTGTATTTCTAGTGGGTGACTTGAAATGCAAAAGATGCTTTAGATGGAGTGGCTCACAGGCCAAAAAGCCTTACTTAAAAGTATAATCGTGCAATACTACAGGGTGTGTTATCTGATACCCAATATTTTATCTGGATCAATATATCAGAGGAACAGCACTGTTCAGATGTGTGTGTGTGTGTGATCTAAAGTTACTGTACACATAAGGGTAGTTGTTTAACACAGCTGCTCAACTGAGCAGGGAGCCTGCATCAACTCGTCTCTAAGGTACTGCATTATACCCAGCGGGCCACATCCAGTCTGCATAACACCATTAATTGCTTCCCTCAAGAACTGAACCCACATTTGAAGATCTAAAACGGGGGAAGCTGAGTCGCCCTTTGTGTGTGATCTTACCTGTCTGTACAAAACCGCAGCTTCTACAGTATAGAGACTGTCAACGATAACTGCCTGTCTTACATGCGGCTTTGGATTTACAGAACTGCTCTCCACCTAACTATGAAACCTGCTTTCTAGGTGTGCAAGAGGCAGAAGGTACTTTGGTAGTGTAGGGGTTATATTACTTAAACTCCATTGGGATTCCTGCAATAATAGTAACTTCAAGCTTCATAAAATGCTCTTTCCCCAGAGTACAGTCAATTTTCTGACTTGTATCCACACTCAGGAGCTGTTATAACAATATTTTTCCTACCATGCTTTTTCAAGGTTGTGATTTGTAACATGGGAAATATCTACTCATGAAATGTAAATGACTATCTTTAAAACATTTTTATATCCGTTATATCAGTACCTTCGGTGGATGTTGCTGGGCGGGTCACTTCCACATAAACTTCAAATGTGGTCTCTGGGTTTTGCCTGAAATAACAAAATAAATGCTTTTAAGTGGGCATTATTTGCAGTCGACAGAAATTACAGTACACTGAAACACTGTACTTGTATAATAGTCCATTAGGATGACTGCAGTTTCTCAGGTGTCTTATTCACAAAGCAGTAGAAAGCCTCCAATATTAAAACACAACTCATCCCCATGTTCACTATACTGTAAGGGGAACCAAATGGCATCTGTATTAAATATAACATATATTCACACACAGGGAATCACGATTAAAGGCAATAGAAGCAATCAAAGTCCAGGTCCTTAAATGGACACTCAGGGCACCAATACAACTTTAATGCATTTGGTATGTGTTAGCCTCAATACTCTTTTTTTTTTCTCTAAAGCTCAAATCTTTTAGTATTTGCACAAAAAATGAAATGTTTGTCAGAATGCTGCACCATAGGCCTGCCCCCTAAGGCACGCACCCTCGTGCCAGAAAGACTTCCTTATGCAAGGGTTACTATAGGGTCAAGAACAAAATGTGGATTCCTGACCCTATAGTGTTAACACCACCATCTAGGCCCCTGATGCCTCCATAAATATAGCAAAATCTTACTGTATTCAATCCTGAAGCTGTAACTCTGCATGCTGTTAGACTCAGAAAAACAAGCAGTCTGCTGACATCATCAGAAGTGGTAGCCTGATCCAATCACAATGCTTCCCCATAGGATTGGCTGAGACTAACAAGGAGGCAGATCAGGGGCAGAGCCAGCATGATTCAAACACAGCCCTGGTCAATCAGCATCTCCACATAGAGATGAATTGAGATCAATGAATCTCTATGAGGAAAGTTCAGTGTCTGCATGCAGAGGGAGGAGACACTAAATATTTGGATGCATTTTAGGCAGCCATGACCCAGGAAGGATCTCTAACAGCCATCTGAGGAGTGTCCAGTGAAGTTAGCACTAGGCTGTAATGTAAACACTGCATTTTCTCTGAAAAGACAGTGTTTACAGCAAAAAGCCTAAAGGTAATGATTCTACTCACCAGAACAAATTCAATAAGCTGAAGTTGTTATGGTGACTATAGTGTCCCTTTAAATATATGCACACAGTCTCAACCCAAACAGCACGGAATGAACAGCCTCTAATTCAGAGCTTGCAGAAAGTCAGAGAAACTATAAACAAGTAGTGATATTCCTACTACATGCCTGCCTGGGTGTCCTCTTTAATGCAGCTTGTTTTGTAGTTCAGATCATTAAAGGGGCACTATAGTCACCAAAACAACTTTAGCTTAATGAAGCAGTTTTTGGTGTATAGATCATACCTCTGACGTTTTACTGCTCAATTCTCTGTCATTTAGAAATAATTTTTGTTTTTGTTTATGCAGTCCTAGCCATACCTCTCATGGCTAAGACTGACATGGGGGAAAAATAAAATGTTTCACTTTCAATCAGATGTAACTTATTTTAAAAGTTTTTATCTCCTGATCTGTAAATTGAACTTTAATTACATACATGAGACTCATGCAGGGTCAAGCAAACTATTAACAGAGCAGGAGATAAAAAATACCAAAATAAACTGAATTTGCAATAAAAGTATAAAAATTAGATGACTCTTTACATGAGGGGTTTAGGAGGGATGTGTATGTCACATGCAGAGAGGGTTGACTAGGGGTGCATAAACAAAGTGATTTTACTCCTAAATGGCAGAGAATTGAGCAGTGAGACTGCAGGGGTATGATCTATACACCAAAATTGCATTAATAAGCTAACGTTGAGCTGTGTGCACTTGTCTTGTTGTAACTACTGGTTTGTTAGTCCATCTATTGTACAGGGCTCAGAATTTGTTGGCAAATTATGTTATGATATTATTTATATAGCACCAACAAATTCCGCAGCGCTTTACAGTGGGTGGACGAACAAACATGTAGTTGTAACCAGACAAGTTGGACACACCGGAACAGAGCGGTTGAGGGCCCTGCTCAATGAGCTTACATGCTAGAGGGAGTGGGGTAAAGTGACACAAAAGGTAAGGAGAGTATTATACTAATGACAGTTGCAAGAGAGGAATCATTCGGGAGCTATTAACAGTATAATTGATACACTTTTATGAAGAAGTGGGTTTTTAATGATATTTTTTGAAGGATTGGAGACTGGGTGAGCATCTAACGGAGGAGGGAAGTGGGTTCCACAGGAACAGTGCAGCCCTCGAGAAGTTTTGAAGGCGAGCATCATAGGTGGAAGTACGGACAGAGTAGATAGGTGGGAGCAGCATTATGTAGAGACTTGAAAGCAAGAACCAGAAATTGAGCCCTATATCTTACAGGAAGCCAATGTAGGGACTGACAGAAGGGTGAGGCATGAGGAGGTGTGGGCGTACAGGAAGATAAGCCTTGCTGCCGCATTCATTATGGACTGTAACGGCGCAAGTTGGGAGCACGTAAGACCACTGAGAAACGGATTACAGTAGTCAAGGCGAGAAAGGACAGTGGAATGGACCAGCACCTTAGTCGTGTCTGGCGTTAAGTAGGGTCAGAGGTACGCAATGTTTTTGAGATGGAAGCATCAAGATTTGGCAATAGACTAAACATGAGGCGTGAAGGAGAGGTTGGAGTCAAAGAGAACACCTAGGCAGCGAGCCTGCGTGGTGGAGCTGATGGTAGCACCGTTGACTTGGAGGGAGGGAGACACAGGAGTAGCAACACTTGAGGGAGGAAAGACCAGAATTTCAGTTTTGGTCAAGTTAAGTTTACGGAAGTTAGAAATAGCAGAGAGGCAGTCAGCGACACTAGTCAAGAGGGACGGGGATAGATCAGATAGATTTGTGTGTCATCCGCGTAGAAATGATAGTGGAAGCCAAAAGGAGCTAATGAGTTTACTAAGGGAGGTAGTATAGATGGAGAACAGTAGGGGACCAAGGACTGAAGCTTTGGGGGACAACAACAGAGAGGAGTATTATGAATAATAATAACTTCTTAAATATGCTGATAACATTTATTTCAAATTTAGAGGTAGCATTCTTTTTATAAGAGCAATATATTTAAACTTTTTGTCACTGGTTTGTCACACCCTTAAAGGACCACTCCATAATGAAATTTGTGTGAAAACAATAACTGTTTAGTAGATATAACCCCTAATAAATACATGTCTGCATGTTTCATGCATGTATTTACTGAGGGTATAACTTAACCGAGCTTGCAAAGTCTGTTCTTATGAATTGCAGTCTTCGAGAGCTCTCCCCTTTTTCATTGAGAAGAATCTGAATCGTCGCAAGCAGGTGTCTGGTCTGAAGAGGTGCTGGAGGATCTGAAGACGCTGGTCTGAGGTCTGTGGAGAGGAAGTCAGACACGCTCTACTTGAGCGCACCTGACACTTCCATCAGCTATGGGGAGCTAAAGGAAGGAAGATGCAACCCTCCCTGTTTCATTGACAGCCAGGCGGTGTTCTAGAATTAAATTTTAAAATTGTCGATTTCTCATACAAAGTGTCACTTTTATAAACTTGTATCAAAACAACAAGCTGAAGTGCTTTAGGTTTGTGGAGTGGTCCTTTAACATGGATTATACAAATGCACACATTAGAAGTTAGTAGCGGTGCAGATGTTTTGTTCACTTGCATTTCCAATTAATATTTCTTAATCATTCCTCATAAACCATGAATTTCAACACATCAGCGTCTTCTTTTACCTAATTGTTACAAAATCAGTAAATTTTATGATGAAGCGAAGCACATCTTGCTAGACATGTGTGACAGATTCTCTGTTGTCTAGAACATAAACCAGAGCAGTAAGATTAGTGTGGGGGTGCGGATAAAAGTGAGAACCACCCATCACAGATTTTTCACACATTAAGAAACATTAGGATTGTATAGACAGATAGGACAAAATAATTAGGAACATTTCCAAGTAAAAAGTACAACATGGTTTCTCAACAACGAAGGACAACTACATGGCACTTGGCCAATCAGTGTATTCAGCATACAAATTCATTATTCTTTCTCTGCCAACACTGAGTGAATCCTAGAACTGAAGATTCACCATCTCAAGTCAGATCGTCCCACTGTGTGGGGGTGAAATGGCAGTCTGGCACAATTCTTACTGAAGATGTAGGTATGATAAAGAATTTACATTTCAAGATACAAATATAAAATCTAAGATGTTAAAAAACCTTCTCCTACCAATCTGACCCTGATGTAGTAAGCTATCTGCTATGATATATTTAAGCTATCTGCTATATTTAAGCTATCTGCTATGATATATTTTTAGAGCAATAGAAACTTTTCAAATATAGTGCCTGTCTAAGCAATCAATTCCCTTTAGACAATTGCATATTTTGCAGGTTGCAAACACCTCTTATTGCAATGAAATCCCTGAATAAGCTAAAGGTGAACAATTACATGATTTTGCTATTTCAAGTCAAAAAGTCATGATTTTATGAAAGACACGGACGCGAGTATTGCTTAACCCTTTCCTTACTGTCCACCAATAGCAGCAAAGAACACAAATAGAAAAAACAGAACATATACAGTGAGACACCAGCTATTACTTATGTTACTGTAGGTGAAAGTTTAGGATCCAGTGATCATCAGTCAGTGTGGTTTAATATAAGAACAGTGACTGAGTCACACCACACAAAAACAAAACTTTTAGACTTTAGAAAAACAGACTTTTCTAAAATTAGAATATGTGTAAAGGAGCATCAGACTGGAGCAATTTAAATGGAGTCAAAGATAAATTGGATTCAAGAAACCACTGTGGTACTCCGCAGATGTGGCCAAAATAGTAAAAAAACAAAAAAATTAACATTTAGTAATTATAAAAAATAAAAAAAAAATAAAAAAAAATAAAAAAAAAATCGGAGTGAGGAAGACAGAATGATCTAGAAGATTAGGCAGAAAGAGGCTAAGCAAGTTATAATAGCTTCCAAATCACACACAGAAGAGAGAATAGCACTGTCAGTATAAAAAAGGGGACAAAACTTTTTTTTAGATATATAAATGAGAAAAGGAAAGTAAAACAAGGATTAGTTAGATTAATAAGAAGAGGATAATAGTCTAGCTGACTGCCTCAATGGATATTGTTGTCCAGTATTTACAGATGAAAATGAAGGAAAGGGACAAATGAGTCGTTCGTTACATGTGAGTTTACAGAGGAAGAGGTTCTATTTCAACTGTCAAAAGTAAAGACAAATAAGTCAATAGGACCTGATGGAATACACCCAAAGATTTTAAAAGAGCTTAGTGGTGTACTAGCAAAACCATTAACAGATGTATTTACCCAATCATTGTTAACAGGAGTAGTCCCAGAAGATTGGATGTTACGAATGTTGTGCCCATTCACAAGAAGGGTAGTAAGGAGGAGTCGGGCAACTATAGGCCTTACTTCAGTAGTAAATGGAAACCATGTTAAAGGATAGGATTGTTGAAGATCTAAAATCACATGGATTTCAAGATCAGAGACAACATTGGTTTACTTCAGGAAGATCATGCCAAACTAATCTTATTGATTTTTTTTTGATTGGGTAACTAAAATAATAGATATGGGTGGTGCAGTAGACATTGCTTACCTAGATTTCAGTAAGGTTTTTGACACTGTTATCAATAAACTGCAATCTTTAAGTATGGATTCAATATTGTGGAATGGGTAAGGCAGTGGCTGAGTGACAGGCAACAGAAGGTTGTAGTCAATGGAGTATATTCGAAGCATGGGCTTGTCACCAGGGTACCTTAGGGATCTGTACTTGGACCCATTCTCTTTAATATTTTTATTAGTGATATTGCAGAAGGTCTTGATGGTAAGGTATGTCTTTTTGCTGATGATACTAAGATATGTAACTGGGTTGATGTTCCAGGAGGGATAAGCCAAATGGCAAATGATTTAGGTAAACTAAAAATATGGTCAGAGTTGTGGCAACTGACATATAATGTGGATAAGTTCAAGACATAAAAACCCAAGGGCAGAGTACAGAATATTTGATAGAGTCCTAACCTCAACATCTGAGGAAAGGGATTTAGGGGTGATTGTTTCTGATGACTTAAAAGGTAGGCAGACAATTTAATAGAGCAGCTGGAAATGCTAGCAGAATGCTTGGTTGTATAGGGAGAGGTATTAGCAGCAGAAAGAGGGAAGTGCTCATGCCATTGTACAGAACACTGGTGAGACCTCTCACAGTCTCACAGACTTTCTTTGGCACCAAAGGCCGTCGGCATTCAGCCCCGAGCTTACTCTGGGCCGCCTTGCTGAGGGGGTGCCGTACCCAGATCTCCTGGTAACGCACCACATGGTCCGCCGGTAGCCACTCAGTAAACCTCGGGTGATGGAGATCATCCAGGTCGAACATAGGTTCTCCCGACTGATCCAGGAGAGTGGAGCCCGCTATAGCAGGGGAATCACTCCAAGATCACTCAAAGCCCTGCCCGAAGGATTCGTCATCAGAGTCACTTAAGGACTCAGCACCAGCCCCCTCACTAGACCCGATTTCTGAGTCGGAGTCGTTCTTAGGTTGTGCTCTAGCACATTTCCATCGCAACAACAACAAAATATCATCATGAGGAGAAGTATGTGGCAACTTAATCTCTGTATATTGCCTAATTCACTTAACACCCAGTTACGTCCGATACCCCCATTTAAGTATTACGGGTCAGGCACGTCAGTCTACTTCTCTCCCCCTCTTTTCCCTTTTCTTCATTCTGTTTCCTATCCAACTCTCTTTTCTCTTCTTATGTTTCTTCTCTCTATCTTGAGTTTGCTGATAATGGAATTTGAAATATGGATCTACATAAGCTAGCCTGTTGAGACCCTCTGAGAATCGTTTGCCTCTTCTCATTGGGTGCTTCGCCCTCTGGATCTTATACAAGCTTTCCAAATATACGAACACTTGATTTCTACAGACAGGGCACTTATATGTTTTTGTTAATTTGTTTCTGTACCTATGTTTTTAATGTTGTTTTTTACATTAAAAAACACTAAATTAGGATGTTTTTACTTTTTTTTTTTAAACACCATAAATACGGAGACATTATTAAAACAACTTCAGAATTTAATTCTAAAGAAGTATTCATCAGTTTTGATTCAAAAATAATAATTCCAAGAGCACTATTAAACAGTATAAATAATAAAAACGTGGTTGAGCGATGATGTTACATTAAATACTTGAAAATGAAGCAATACATACAATCCAACAAAATAGAAATATAAACTATAGCTACAAGGTGCAAGCTGGTGTACAAGACCATTCTGTGTGTAAACCGTGTATTTTGTTATCTCATTGCATTTGTCAGAAGCAAGCTTTAAGTACAATTTTGTAAAACGAACACTGCAAAAAGTATAAATATTTAATCCTGTTGAATTGGGTATAGTACATGAAGTCCCCTAACACTGTCACTCCAGTCTAACAGGAAATAAGTGGCCCTGGCCAGCCATAGTCCAGATCCTTCTGGAGGTATGGCTTGGTCTTAGATTACACACTTCCTTCTATCAATTATGCGCACTGAACGTGTTAAGCCGATTTGCTCAGCCACTCATTGCTGCTTAGGCAAATTCTTCCATATAAGCCCAAGCTGCACAGAGGGGATAGGCTACTATGGACTCTCATTTAACATGAAACATTAAAAATAGCTTAAAGGACCACTATAGTGCCAGGAAAACATACTTGTTTTCCTGGCACTATAGTGCCCTGAGGGTGCCCCCACTCTCAGGGACCCCCTCCCGCCGGGCTCTAGGGTAAGGAAGGGGTTAAACTTACCTCTTTCTCCAGCGCCGGGCGGGGAGCTCTCCTCCTCTTCGGCTGAATGCGCATGCGCGGCAGGAGCCGCATGTGCATTCAGCCAGTCCATAGGAAAGCATTCACAATGCTTTCCTATGGACGCTGGCGTCTTCTCACTGTGATTTTCACAGTGACAAACGCGGAAGCCCTCTAGCGGCTGTCAATGAGACAGCCACTAGAGGCAGCCACTAGAGTTTCTCTGAAACTGCTATATTTATAGAAAAAAGGGTTAACCCTAGATGGATCAGGCACCCAGACCACCTCATTAAGCTGAAGTGGTCTGGGTGCCTATAGTGGTCCTTTAACACTGAATGGGAGGACAGTGCCTGGGGACTCCAGGCATTATCAACTTCAATGAGATGAAGCAGTTCCTGTGCCTACAGTGTTTCTTTAAAGTTTACCTTTCATGCTACACACAACTTACTCTTGAATTAAAAAATATTAAACTCAATAACAATGTTAAACTAGTAGAGATGCTAGCAAATTTAGAGATTTTATTGTACTTTAAAACTTTGGCTCCTGCCCCTCAACTGTCCATCAATCCACAGTATAAACCCCTTTATGCCAGCAACAAAGAGGTCAAAGACAAGAATAGAGTGACAAGAGAGCAGGAGAACCCTCATACAGGTAGTTAATCTGCTCTCTGTCACAGGAATATTCCACCAGCAAATATTTCTCGGTTTTGCAGAAGTATTATAGGATATTTTGACACCTATGCAGTGAATATTTCCCTGCTTGAAAAAGTATAACTAAGCAAGTCTAATTGCATCTGAGAGGGGGTAGGACCAGAGGGTGGGTGCTACAATAGTGAAAAATCCACAGAAGAATGGCAGTACAGGAGCAAAGGGTATTAAATGAGTGCCATTATAACAGCTTCCAAAGCAGCAAAATATATAATGTATCACTATGAAAAATTATAGATTTACTTATACCTATACCAATAACTATACTATATTTACCTTACCTATCTTTATGGTCATTTTGCCATTGTATTTATTCCATTATATTTAATATAGTTGTGCAAAAATTAGCTTGAGACAGAATGTACAAAATTAGATGATTTTTAAAATTATTTCAAAAATAAAGAAAAAATAGAGATAGCTGGAGAAAAATGCTCAGATAGTTTTCTATTTAAGATACATTGTAATCCAAAGGTTATTAAGCATGAAAGAGAGATTGGTGTATGTAGTGAATGTTGCATGAAGCTTTATATTCATACAATATTAAAATCTGTCTACTGAGATAACAAGCATCTTTTCAAAGCAAAAATGTTATAAAAAAAAATATATATATGGTTCAAAAAAAGACCTTAATCCCATTGTTATTCTTTGAATCGCTGAATATACAATAAACACCTTTGATTTAAAGGAACACTATAGGGTCAGCATCACAAACACGTCCTTGGTTTACATAATCCGAATTGATGATCTCAACCAATCCAATGCTTTCCCGTAGGAAAAGTGCTGGATTGGCGGAGATCATGAAGGAGGCGAGGCCAAACGCCAGCTTGGCCAATCAGCATCTCCTCATATAGATGCATTGAATCAAACCATCTTTATGAGGAAAGTTCAGCGTCTCCATACAATCGACTTGCTTTTCATCTATACCCAAATTAATTTATACAGGATTTAAATATGGAGTCTTATACACTGAATAAGACTCCACAGGTAATTCCCAGATTTGATTTGGATGAACTGGTTCAAACTACATTTTGCACCAGTCTAATAATTATAATTTAGGGGTTACACCGTACATGAATGTTTAACCCAAAAGTCTCCAGTACTGGGCCATTTACCACTGCCCTCTCCACATTTGCTTTGTCAACATCTTCAGAACAGAAGCAGGGAGAGCCAGGGGCCCAGCTGATTGGCTTGGAGCAGTCAGATTACACTATAAACCAATCACAAGCTCCCTATTCATTAAAAGAGCTTAAAAAACGTTAAAGTGGCGAGCCGGTGATCTTTGTATCTTTGGCTCCACCCAAAGGAGGGCAGACATGCTTGGAAAAGGGATGGGTCGGTCTGAATTACTGGCAGGTCAGCTGCTTGTCAATCATCCAGGTTGGCCAATTGAGGGCAGACAATGCAGGGAGCAAAAAAAATTTAAAATATTTTTACCAGCGTCCTACATGCCAAACGCAACCTTTATTATGTATATAATAAAGGCAAAGTGAAGGAGATCAAAGATCTCCCTCATCATGCCATTGTAAGCTTCTTTAAGAAGAGTGAGCCCTGTAGACTCTCTGTCTGCATCTCTGCCTGGGCCTCTCCTTTTCGCGGGCCCAGCCTATTAGAGCTTTGTCTTAGGTTACTACGGCAACGTTCTGACGAGCCAGGGCTCACAAAAAGAACTTGTACCCAGCAGAGTTTGGGGCTACAAAATACCACCGGACCACCAGTGAATTCCGTGTCCCTTTCCCTGGCCAGAGGTAAGAGACAGTGAGGGGCAACTAACATAAATATAACAAATAAAGCTATATACAAATAAAAAATAAGGATAAAATATAAAGTGGCTCCTCTCACTTCCCACTAATCACAGCCACTATCCCACTGCATCACTTATACACACACTATATCCACTATAAACACATAATGCATCCCTTACACATACTGCATTCCCTAAACACACATCACATACACAAACAATTGCTACATCACTCTATACAAAAATTAACTGTAATCATGGCGCATGTTCTATTTTTTTTCTTCTAAATTTCTACTAAAAACATATGGGTGCATTTTATATCCCGGTGTGTCCTATATTCCAAAATATGGTAAATATACATCATTTTTCTTTTTCACTTATTCATTTATCCTTTATAAAAAAAAAAAGGTAAACTTGAAGCTTTAGGCAGTTTACAGTGTTCTATATATTACAAAGTTTCACACAGTATCTAAAATGTTACTATAAAAGAAAAAGATAAAATTTTACTTTCTGTAACTTTCTTTTTCCTTCAGATTAGAGACAGTGCTCAACTACAGGAATATCCATGTCCAGACACGTTGAAATTAAATTCATTATATATATATATAATTTTTTTAGAAAATTTCACTTTTTTATCTGGCCGAGCGTCCATTTGAGTCAGACTTATCTGTTATCAGATTTAACACTGTTATATAATATTTGTTATTATACATCATCGCTATTTTTTACTTCATTTGTATTGGCCTTTATGAAGAAATCACTTGTCACCCCTTTCTGACAGTCATCTTTATGCACCTTGTGTCAGACTGTCAGCTATACTAATCAATGCTCACTATTTTACAATAGACTGTACTTTGTTTAAATTGCCTGACTGAAAATGCTGCAGGCAGAAAGCACATGACTTTGAAAAACAACAGTTGTTTGCAAAATAGTGAGCACTGGACAAATGTCAATATACCTGAATTCAAAACTATTAAGAAATTGCATATTCTAATATAAAGTTACATTAAAAATGTTTAATGAAAGTTATCCTGTTAGATTACAAACAGCTGGAGGAGTGGGGTTTTTAGTTCTCAATAATAAAAACATTGCAAGTGATAATTTTGTTGTTTTTTTAAGGCGCACATGTCACGAACCACATGACTCGGGGTTGTTTCAAAGAGAAAAGAAGATTTAATCTATTCATTGTGCTAATCAAATTCCTAGCAAATGCATAGATTAAAAGCTATTTACTGTACATTAATTTGACCTTCTTGGGCTTTACTGGTACACCATCACATCTAACTAAAGAGGTATATATTTTAATATATTTGCAGTTACTCCACCTACATGTCTTATAGTTGAATATATAAATGTCTCTCTATAAGGAAACATCTATAAATCTGAATATAGGTTGATACCGTGAATAACTAATGCAGCAAAATAGTATTTATAATATAGAAGGTAAAAAACAAGAACAAGTTGGGGCTCTGACACAAAAAAAAAGTAGACAAATTTGGAGAACAGAGAAAGCAGTATTTCTCAGGCAAACCAATATTTTGGTCTGCTACATAACATTCAACTGCCTTTGAGTCTCCTTTGCTAGGTCAAAAGGAACAGTGGTTCGCAAACCAGTCCACATGGCCCAACAACAATCTAGGATTTACGTATTTACTGTTTTTATGGCAAGGTGACACTGACAAAACCTGGACTGTTGCTGGGTCATGAGGACTGGTTTGGAAACCACTGATCTAGAGTATAGACAACAACCTGTATGCAGTTATATACATTTAAAATACTGAGTCCCAAATAAGGATTGTCTTGCCAGAACTTGTATAGTTGTGATGTACATCGATAACTAAACAGCTGTGCCTGAAAAATTTTCTTCTAATGCACAATTTTCATGATTTCCTTAGCATTTATAATAGTAAATATTTTTTACGTGCTTACCGATAATTCATCTATTATTTCACACAGATTATTTTGCAGCATACATTTCCCCTGCAAGATGATCACTGACCCACAATAACTTGAACCAAAAGCTTGAACAAAAAAAAGTTTGAAAAGTGCATCTCAGCAGACTTTCATATTGTCTTCCTTTATCCATTTGTATTTCCAAAAGCAGAACCTCTTAGCTCCACATGCTCAGTTAGATAGCTCACATCTTACTGCTAATGCATTCACAGTTCAGTAGTCATTAGTGACAACTGACAAGACCTTTATGATGTAGATCATTGTCTGTGACACGTTCAGGATGTCATAAACCTAGCTCCCTTTTTGAAATGCATAACTATATGATGCGTCTCTGATGAACTGTCACTAAAGCATGAAAGGCCTTAAGCTTCATCTTGCCCAATGCTTGCCCCTATTTTGTCAATGTCCAATTTTAAATAAAGAAATAAAGGTAGATTACAAATCTCTATAATGCCAATTGAGACCCTTTTTCTTTTGCAAGTCGGGTTGTTTGTGTTGCAAAAGTATATGGTTTAAAGTTTTAAATGAGTTGTATACTAAACATTTATTGACAGAAGCCTTTTTAGGTGTGTCCAACCACTGTCATAAAGGTTAAATGGACACTCGAAGCACAAAACTACTTTAGTTTAATGGAGTGGTTTCTGTGTATAGAGCTTGCCCCTCCAGTCTAACTGTTCAATTCTCTGTCATATCTAAGTTTAATAAGTTTGTTTATACAGCCCTACCAACACCTCCCCTATCTGTAATCTAGTCTCCCTACGCATTTCTTGTAAAGAGAGATCAAATGTTTAAACATCCTTTATTGCACAGGCTGTTTAATTTCAAATTTCTTATATCCTGCTCTGTGAACAGCCTGCAGGAGTCTTGTGTTAATATCTTTTGACATCGGCATACTCCGTACCCAAATTTCACCACCCTCAACTCTCCAATCTCATAGAAACCTCCACTGCTTTGATCTCCAGCAAACTCTCCTTTTACCCATCTCAAATCTCACTTGCCCTAACTCTGCAACCTCAATCTACAACTCCACTCTCTCCTCTCAACTTGACATCATGGCACCTCCTACATTTAAATGCAGCAATCGCTCCCAATTACAACCCTGGCACACCAAGCTGACCCGATATCTCAAAAAAATGTTCCAGAACTGCTGAACGTTGTTGAAGAAAGTCTCACTCTGCACCGGACTTCCTCCACTATAAACTTATGCTGCGTTCCTACACTCTGGCTCTTTCCTCTGCAAAAGTAGAAATAATTTCAACACCCTCATAAGCACACTGTCCCGCCAACCCTAATGCCTATTTTACACTTTGAAATCTCTCCTTCACCCTGTTGCTCCCCCTCCCCCTACCACCCTGTCCACCTCAAACTTTGCATCTCACTTCACTGAAAAGGCTTCTACAATCAGGGAAGAGATCTCTAACCTCTCTCCCAAACCATTCCAACACATCTTCCAGTACATCACCCAACCCCACTCACTCCACTGTTCTATGCGCATTCACACCTACTACAACGGAAAAGGTTTCTGCACTGCTCCGGTCCTCCCGCCCCACCACCTTTTTTCCTTGATCCTATTTATTCATATCTCGTCCACATTCCGTTTCCCTCTCTTGCTCTTCCTCTTCCTCTCACTAAAATTTTTAATCTCTCCCTTTCCTCCGGCACATTTCCTTCACCCTTCAAGCATGGAACTATAACGCCGATTCTGAAAAAGCACAACCTCGACCCCAACTCCCCATCCAACTACCGCCCTACATTGCTACTGCCAGGGTCGGACGGGGATACAAAGCAGCCCTGGAAAAAATCTATGCCAGCCCCATAAGTCATTGCGACATATATTGTCACATGTAATATGTAAGGCTATGTCTTGCCACCCCAGATAATTGAGTTATATATAAACACATATATAGAAATATATATACACACAACATAAATATATATTTATTTTTCTAATATAAAAAATTGGTGCTTTCAGAGTAAAACGTTTAAGTATACAGTAAGCATACTCACACGCAGACAAAGACAATCTCACTGACACACACAAGCTCATTGATACATAGCCTCATAGACAAACAAACTCACTGATATACATAAGCTCATTGACATAGAAACACAAGATCAGAGATGCACACACATAGGCTCATGGACAGTCAATCTCACTGACACACACAGACAAGCTTATTGATATACACACAAAGTACAGACAAACTGACACGCACAAGCTTTCTACAGACAAGCTCACTGTCACACACACACTTCCTACAGACAAGCTCAGTCACACACAAGATCACTACAGACAAGCTCACTGTCACACAAATGCTCACTGCAGACAAGTTCGCTGACACACACATGCTCCATACAGAAAAGCTCACTAACACACACATGCTCCCTACAGCAAAGTTTTATAATAAACCTGGTCTAGATATTCTGTAGCCACCCTTTTTCCTGCAAACAAGTAATTGGCACAATGCCACACCTACAATGGAACAGATATGATGATATGCTTCTAAAACCTCACTTTAGAGGGATCTGGTTATATATGCAGTGGAGAACCCCAGGCTTTATCAAACTGTTCCAAAACAATCTAACAGAATTCATGAGCGGTATGCACCGATTAGTTGAGCTACGTGCCCCATAGACATTGATTCAATGCATCTCTATGAGAAGATGCTGATTGGTGCAGCATTTTGCAGCCAATCATATGCCAACAGAAGGTGTGACATACAGACACACTATGACAGACCCATACACTCATACATTATTGCTTGTCTTGATACCTGTGGGGTCCAGTGGGTGACCGGCCAGGGGATTGTGAAGGCGGGCGGTATGCTGGGGGATCGTTCAGGCAGGCATAACAAGTTGGAGGATTATGGATGTGTGCGGCATGCTGGGTGGTCGTGCAGGGCGGACGGCTGGCTGCTTGCATAGTAGGCGCGAATAGGGAGCTGTGCGGTCTCTGCTCCCCAGCGCGCAGCTTAATGAGACCGGGGCCGGAATATGGAGCAGCATATTCTGCCGCATATCCTGTCCCCGGTCTCATTAAGTAGAGTTTGAGGGCGGGGGAGCAGAGACAGCACAGGCCTCCCTCCGGCAGTCAGCAGCCTAAGTGCAACTGCACCAGCTGTCTGCCCAGCCCGGGTGCTGCGGCCCACCGGGAAATTTCCCAGTACTCCGCTGGGCCAGTACTGCCGTTTCCCTCCAAGATCCTTGTTGTGTATGCAAGATTGACAGACTTCCTCAAATTCAACTCTCTGCTTGACCCGCTTCAGTCTGGATTCCGCGCTCGTCACTCTGCCGAGCAGCTGTGACCAAACTATCCAATCGCTGCTAAATCTCGCGGCCATTACTCTATCCCAATTCACCTTGATCTTTCTGCTGCCATTGACACTGTTGATCATCAGCTTCATCTCATTCTCTGTAATCTATGAGATACTGCTCTCCCTGATGCTCCTCCTACCTCTCCCAGAGCTTTTTCAGTGTTTCTTTCTCTGGCTCTGCCTCTTCTCCCCAACCCCTCTCCTTGGCCCCCTATTGTTCTCAGTCTACACTGCCTCCCTTGGTAAATTCATTTGGTAAACTCCTTTGGCTTCGATTATCATTTATATGCAGATGACACACAAATCTACCTGTCCTCTCCTGATCTCTGTCCGCCCATCTGGACTCGTGTCTCTAACTGCCTCTCTGCGATTTCCACTTGGATGGCAGCTCACTTTTCTTAAACTCAACCTGTCTAAAACAGAACTTCTGGTCTTTCCTTCCTCAAGTGTTGCTACTTCCGTGTCTGTCTCCCTCCAAGTCAACAGTGCCACCACTACCTATACCTCGCAGGCTTGCTGCCTAGGTGTTCTCTTTGACTCCGAGCTCTCCTTCACGCCTCATGTTCAGTCTATTGCCAAATCCTGCCACTTCCATGTAAAAAATATAGCTCGCATCCGCCCTTACTTAACACCAGACGCGGCTACGGTGCTGGTCCATACCATTGTTCTTTATCGCCTTGACTACTGCAATCCCCTTCTCAGCAGTCTTAGGTGTTCCCAGACTGCACTGCTGCAATCTATAATGAATGCAGCGGCGAGGTTCATTTTCCTGTCCGCCCGCCCGCACCTCCCACGCCTCACCCTTCTGTCAGTCCCTACATTGGCTTCCAGTTAGATATAGGGTTCAATTTAAGTTTCTGGTGCCCCGAGGCCCCTGCACTCTGCCGAAGACATACATCTATCCTCTATCCGTACTCCCACATCTGATGCTCGCCTCCAAGACTTCTCCAGGGCTGCACCTTTTCAGTGGAACTCCCTACACATCTCCGTTAGACTTTCATCCACTCCTTCAATAATCTTTGAAAATACACTTCTTCAGGAAGGCATAGCATTTAAATTGTTAGCGGGTTTTCATTCAACACCTCTCCCCCCCCATGATTCCTCTCCTGCAACTGTCAAATAGAACCAAAGTTCTCAGTGAATACTTTTCTAGCAACCTATTTCATTACCCCTAGTAATACCCTTTGTGTCACTACACCCCACTCCCTCTAGCACATAAGCTCATTGAGCAGGGCCCTCAACCCCTCTGTTCTTGTGCGTCAATTTGTCTGGTTACAATTATGTGTCTGTTAGTCCACCCATTGTACAGCGCTATGGAATTTGCTGGTGCTACATAAATAAAATAATAAAATTCAATTAACAGAACAGGAGATTTAAAAAAAAAAAAAAAAGACTTTGAGACAACGGTCTCACTCAGAAAGCTTTAGCATTGAATGAGACAGCAGCCTCACTGGGGGGTAAAAAGCAGGTAAATATAACTTGTATTTCTCTTTTTTCCAAATTCACTTGCTTTTTTCTTATGCTTTCCACACCCACTCCAGGGGGTCACTGATCTTAACCAGTGTCTTTTCCCTAGGATTGATGGAAAAATTTGATGATACTGTGTAGGCTACTTTGTCAGGTTTTTCTCTCCTGCTGCTGCACAATGATGATCAGTTTCTGTCCTAAGTCGACTGGTATAAAACGAAGATGTTTTGGTAAAAAAGGGGGGGTGGAGCAGCAGAAACTCCCTTAGCAGAGAGGCGTGCCCAATAATGCAATCTGACAATGTTTACAAATGCTTAGAACATATTTTTCAAACTTTTCCTTCATTATAAGTACACAGACCACCTCATCTCATTAAAGTATTCTTGGTGCAGTGTCCCTGTCCCCTTAACCATGCAATGTAAAACAATGCATTTTTAGACAAACTGCAACATATACATAGCAGGGTTAAGACTGCCTCTAGTGACTAGTACCAGAAAGTCACTAGAGGCACTTCGTGCAGTTTAATGGAGTTTGACTCACTTTACATGAAAAAATCCAGCATCTAGAAAATCTCCATATGAAAACATTTATTCAAAGTATTCCTATGGGGAAGGCCTAAAGCGCGCAGCACTCGCTGCACATGCGCATTAGATTCCCAAATAGCTGTCACGTCAGCAGAAGAAAAGCCCAACCCAGTGCCAAGGGACATCAGAGCTGGAATCAAGTGGAAAAAGTGTTATTTTGTCAATCTTTATTTTTTTCAGTGCTCGGTTTAACAAACAGGCTTGTGTTGCCACAACAGCAGGTACAAGCGAAGGAAAATGTACAGAGTAAACAATATCATGGCCTTCAATATTGGCACAATTTTTGTTAATAAAATCAAGCTAGGTAAATATGTCTAAAACACTGGCTTAAACTAGGCGGGTAGATACGAGAGGTACGTTAGACATAGTGATTAATAACAAGTGAGAAATAGCATGACAAGACAAGCTTAATTCGGTGGCCTAGGGCGACATGCTAAACTGCACATTATTGAACTATAGGATGTCAGGTTAGATTTGCTTGTCTACGGAGTTGGAAGGTGCTGGGGATTACATGGTGATGTATGTCAGAAACGCTAAATGGTCAGTTAGGATGAACTAGGCACATAACTTTGTATAGATGCAATGGAACATGCTTATATAATATAAGAACAAAACTGACCACTGGAGAGGTTCGCATACAGAGTGACAGTGCTAACCATTAGGTTGTAACATATTGCCAGGACATTCATGTCATATAATGAGACACTGTCACAGTAATTAAGGTTTAAGCTATAATCTTACAAAACCAGAACTAGGTGACATAGAATGCAAGTGTTAGAGCAGTCAAGGACATGACATCGAGCATGTCATGTTTTAAAAAAGAGAATATTAAAATCAGGTTAACATGCTAGGTTAACCACCAACCTCCCGGAGCCAGTCAAAATAAAACTGCAAAAAAACAACAAAATGAGCGTGTCTGCTAGGTGGGAGCACAATCGAGAGTATCAGTTCGGACAGTTCAGGTTGGATTCCAGAAGGATACGCAGGCTCTCAGCTGGGAGCGTTATCTAGCGGGACTGCGGGTTAAAGAATCAACAGTCAGTCAGCCAATACCCCTGCTGGGTAGGATGGCACCTTGAGCCGGGAGAGTCCATAGGAGGATGGTGAGTTTCCTGTATATGGAGGCCGCCCTCCAATGCCAGCACCTGCAGTCCACAGACTCTGTATAGAACCTCTGTTGGGCGCCATGGAGAGCTCGGATGTTCTGCCGCCACCAGCGACGGTCGGGCTTCCGGCGGTGTGGTCGGTGCCGTGGAGGCTTCCTCTGAGTGGCCTTCGGCCTAGGAAGGCATTTAGGACAAACAGTGTTAGCTGCTCTATGGGGTTCGCCCGATGGAGGCCTTCCCCAACTCCATTCCTCGACCCCCTTCACCACTCTCTCAGGATTAGGCTGCTCCTGTTTGCTGCGGAACTCCCAAAACCTTTGGAAGATACTGTCCAGTTGCTCAATGTACTGCTCCACCGGGTTATTGTCATGGTGTGTTAGCACGGGCTTCTGCCAATGGGACGATGATGCCATCTTGTGTGGCCTGCTGGCAGTGTAGCTCTGGCAGTAGGAAGTAGCCGGAGCTTGTTTTGCAGTTTGCCCTGTGTTGATGGGGACAGGGATAACCCCCACCGGTCCAAAGGGGGGAGAGGGGGGGGGGAAGACACACGTTAAAGTTTGTTGGATGGTGTCGCCGTGAGAGAGTGGCCGTCTCTCCCGCGGTTTCCCTGCTTGTCACGTTGCGGACTAGGCCACACTGCCAGGTTCCGGTTTATGCAGACGGAGCTTCAAGATTCGGGTACCGTTTTGTGCCGCTTCGATTGCAGATCAGCCCCTTGGATCAGATAAGTTGTACCTGGCGTGGAGCTATAATCAAGTGCATCCGGCCATCTTGGCTGTCAGACAACCCTTTATTGCAGCCGGAGGGGCCCACGAGGATTGGGAATGGGACACACTAGTGTTAGGAATACAATTTTTTTATTCCTAACACTATAGTGTTCCTTTAAGTTTGGTTTGTGTATTGGTTTAAAAATAGTCAAGGGATGTATATTTCTTTAAGTAAACAAACTGTGCTAGGATTGCATAAATAAACTGATTTAACTCCTACATGGTAGAGAATCGAGCAGTAAAACTACATGGGCATGATATATATACCAAAACAACTTCAATAAGCTAAAAGTTGTCTTCCTGCTTAGAGTGCCCTTTCACTACTCTATTCTTTGTAAGTACTTCTTACACTTTGCTATTTATGTGCCTCTGGGCATGGAGCCTTTAACACGATCACAGACATAATCAGATTCTATTCTTGCAGTCAGCATTGTGAGAATGCCTGTTTAAAGAAGCTTGTATGTCCCCTTTCTCCTTCTCTAGTACAATCCCCCAACCCTTCCCACCTCTCTACATCATTTAATAAGTCTGTTATTTTATTTTATTTTTAATTACCCAGGCTTTGAACAACTTCCCCAGCTCCCGCCACCCCCCACACACTCCCTCCCCTCTCCAGAGCAAATGCATGCGCTCTAAACCTGTGAGATTGGTGACATCAAATGCTTCTCTATTTGACTGGACCATTTTTAAAGGTTCAGATCATTTGATTAGGCCTTGGAGAGGGAAGAAGTGATGTGCCTGGACGATGGAAAGGCCGTGGAAAAGAACAAGGAAAACTTCGCCTGGTGTTGGATTCCAGGTGACTATAAAGCAAATGTTATGAGTTTTCCAATAACAATTAGAAGAAGGCAGAATGACTAGTGCCAAACAGGGCAAAATAAATGTAAAACACTATATAGTGAAAAATGGTTGGAGTAATCCTTTAAAGAAACACTCCAGGCACATGAAGCACGTCAGCTGGCTGAAGGGCTTTATGCATCTGTAGTCTGTCATATTTGAGACATTTTATAAAATGTGGGACAGAAACACCTCCCTGGCTGTCTGAATGACAAAATTAAGTTTCTACTGCAATTGTTAGCTCCACAGAGCTATACTACAGCTCATTGAGAAGCATAGGAAAGAGGCTCCTGGCACAGACTTAAGATATGTGCTGGAAGAAGAGGGGGGATTTGCAAAGACTACATACACCAGGTCTGCAGCTCCTGCAAGCTGTTTTTATATAATCCCAAAGAAAACATGCATTTGAGAAGGGACTGCCCATAGGATAAACCATTAAGTGTTTTTTTCAGTGTCTCCAACATCTAAAGGGTCTATGCAGGATGAAACCGATACGTGTTTGTAATGCATTGTAAAGATAATACATAACCAAATAAGTAATCCAAATAAATAAATAGAAAAAGAAAACTCACATTGAAAAGCAGAGTAATCTGAATGTACCTTTCCTGTAAACGGAGGCTATGAGTTTATAGGAAAGGTACATTCTGATTTCTTTGGTTTCCAATGTGAGTTTTCTTTTTCTATTTATTTAGATTACTTATTTGGTTATGTATTATCTTTACAATGCATTGCAAATGAGGATCTGTTTTAGCTTGCAGAGGCCCGTTAAGTGTTGGAGACTCTGGAAAAAAAACCACTTAATCGTTTATATAATGAGCAGTCCCTTGTCAAACTCATGTTTGAGAAGGTATTGCCCATAGGTTAAACCATTTAGTCTCAGTTTGCATGAAACTTTCTTCAAAATTAGTCATAGATGGTACCTTACTCCTTACAGAATCTAGAAATTCAAACTTCTTTACTTAGACATCTGTTGCTAATGTGCTACCTCTATAGGAACATTATACGATGTGTGGTGGAAATTCAATGGCTTAACATAGATTAAAGAAAACATAGCACAAATGTTCAAAGCTTTGCATATACAAGAAGAGCTATCCCCTCAAACATTCCTATTTTATCTGTTTTTTCCCCATCTGTAGTTTTGAACAAAAAGCATTCCTAATACATATATTTATGGCCATAAAACTTATAATAGCAAGAAACTAGAAGGTACCTCTAGCGCCTAAGTGGTCAGATATAGCGGGTCAGCTAAAATATCACGCCAAAATGGAAAAAGGGTTCTATAGAAATGCAGACAAGATTTCTTTGCACAAAGCTATATAGTCTAACTGGAATAAAATCTCTACATTGAATATTATCTACATCTTTTAACACTGAATACATACTTAAATTTAGCCAATCAAATTAGAAAAGCGGCATGTTAAATGGGTCCCGTAGAATCTATAATGCCTCCCTGAGCTGAGACTGTTCATACTATGGAAAATTTCCTCCTCCTCTCGGAAAGAACCTTATACGTCCGCCACATCCTAAAAATGATACATACTGACTCTACGTTCCCATGCCCTAAATTTTCATTTGTTTGTTGAATATGAAGTATGAATGGTAGAGTTAACTGAAAATATAAAGATATTACGACTCTTAACAACCAGCTATAACCAGTAGGGATGCACCAAAATTCTAATTTTGGGCCAAAACCGAAAATTCAGTATGCCCTTGGCCGAAAACTGAAACCAAAACAGAAATGACTTTTTTCCCAACAAAATGGAGGGGATGACAGTGTGACTGAGGGAGGGGGTGACATGTTTGTTAGTCCACCTATTGTAAAGCGTTACGGAATTTGTTGGTGCTATATAAATATAATATAATAATTACATTCAATGAAACATTTACATTTCATTAAATGTGTTGATGTCGCGAACGGTTCGCCGCGGACTCATCATTGAGTAAACTTTGACCATGTACCTCACAGTCAGCAGACACATTCCAGCCAATCAGCAGCAGACCCTCCCTCCCAGACCCTTCCACCTCCTGGACAGCTCACTAAGAATGCAGCTTCACAATGAATATAAAATGGATGCTGTCCAGGAGGTGGAAGGGTCTGGGAGGGAGGTTCTGCTGTTGATTGGCTGGAATGTGTCTGCTGACTGTGAGGTCAGGGTCAAAGTTTACTCATTGATGAGTCCGCGGCGAACCGTTCGTTGCGAACCGTTCGCAAACCATTCCGCGAACCGTTCGGGACATCACTAATTAAATGTCATAACTTTAAAAAAAAAAAAACATTTTAAGGTCACTTTTCCTTTAATTTGGCAAGATTTTTTTTGGAAAAACAAAAATATATACCGAATAAATCAGACACTCAAATGGTTTGTTAGAGTACCTTTATTCTACCCATTCAAGGCAGTGTTTCAACTGCAAAGAGCCTCTATGCCTAGAACTAAAAGGATGTCAAAGGTGGGTATAGTGAAGGGACTCTAACACACTCGTTGGATGCCTGGTCTATTATGTAGGCTGTTGATTGGAGGCTTGCTACACTGTCTTGAGGAAGGGACCTTGGACCTGGCGACCACTTTACCAAAATGTGCCTGCGGCCTTCCCCAGAGGGGCAAAGGTTGATGTGAGAAGGAGACTCTGGATGGCAGACTCACCATAGCCCAGTAACCTTCAGATCATATTTACTTTTACTTATGTTTTAAGCTATTTTTACATTTTTCTGCTAATTTCTTTCCCTCCATCTAATGCCTTATTTGCTTCGGGGTCTGACTTCCTGGCTGCCCATTGCAGGGATCTCCTGTGTGTACTCCTACTCTCTCACTCTGCTAAACTAGCCTGTTAACTACTATAGCCTGTCTAAACATCCAATGCATTTATCCTGACCTACTCCCTATCTAAGACAATTTTTATGCATTGAGTAACCTTTGCTCAAAAGTGCAGTTTCCTTGTATTGTTTGCTGGATAACCTTATATGTGTTTTATTATCTTGAATATGTACATTATCCATGTTCTCTTGATGCCCATCAAAAATTTAGAATTTAAGAAAAAAATAAAAAATATATACACACACAAAATAAATACATTAAAGTTACTTTTTAGTAGATATACTCCAAATGAAAACATGCCTGCATTTAACCTCTTAAGGACACATGACATGTGTGACATGTAATGATTACCTTTTATTCCAGAAGTTTGGTCCTTAAGGGGTTAAAGGGATTCTATAGTGTTTGGAATACAAATCTATATTAAATCAATGCTTTCCTATGGATATTTCACTGATGCTTTATGTCCTCATGCATAATAAAACTGTAATGTTAACATTTTAGTACTAAGACTGCCTCTAGTGGCTGTCTACCAGAGATGTCCAGCATCATTTAGGCGTCTCTGGTAGTCAGCCACTAGAGGCAGTCTTGGTACTAAAATGTTAACATTACAGTTTTATTAAAAACTGCAATGTTTTACATTGCAGGACTAAGGGGGACAGGGATACTGCATCCAGACCATTTCGATGAGCTGATGTGATCTGATTGCCTGTAGTGTCCCTTTAATTATGCATTTTTTAATTGGGGGTATATCTAAAAAAAGCTTGCAAAAGCTGCAGTTCTCTTGTATGTTGCCTCTGTACTCCCTCCCCTTCTAGCCCTGCTCAGACCGTGGCTGCCCAATCACAGACTTTACAATGCAGCTAAATTAAAAGTCTTTACAAACTAATGTGGGAAATTATTTGTTTAGCTTCACTGAACTAAACAAACCAGAAAGTAGCAGGACCTGTTGTCTGATTGATGGACAGTCAGGGATATGTAACAAAATTAAAGGATCATTATAGGGTCAGGAACACAAATATGTATTCCTGACCCTATATAGTGTTAAAACCACTATCTAGCCCCCCTGAGCCCCTCATGCCTCCATAAATATAGGAAAATCTTACTGTATTCAAGTCAGAAGCTGTAACGCTGCATGCTGTTTGTCGCAGAAAAACAAGCTGTCTGCTGCCATCATCAGAAGTGGTATCCTGATCCAATCACAGTGCTTCTCCATAGGATTGGCTGAGACTGAGAAGGAGGCAGATCAGGGGCAGAGCCAGCACAATTCAAACACAGCCCTGGCCAATCAGCATCTCCTCATAGAGATGAATTGAATCAATGAATCTCTATGAGGAAAGTTCAGTGTCTGCATGCAGAGGGAGGAGATACTGAATGTTTGGATGCATTTTAGGCAGCCATGACCCAGGAAGGATCTCTAACAGACATCTGAGGAGTGGCCAGTGAAGTTGTCACTAGGCTGTAATGCAAACACTGCATTTTCTCTGAAAAGACAGTGTTTACAGCAAACCTGCAGGTAATGATTCTACTCACCAGAACAGATTCAATAAGCTGATGTTGTTCTGGTGACTATAGTGTCCCTTTAATAAAAGTGGCAATTTCTATTGATATTTGCACTTTTTGTAAAATGAAAAATAGAGAAAACACTCTTCACACATAAATCATTTCAGCAAGCTAAAGTGCTTAAGAGGTCCAAAGTATCCCTTTAAGGTAAAGTTGTGTTGGTACATTTAACCGAAACTACGTTTAAATATGAGTGACACTACATTATAATATTTGATTGAACCAGTTGATGTAACAATGACAAACTTTGCAGCCTCACAAAGTTCTAGGAAGTCTTATTTAAAGTATCAGTCACAGCAGTTTCATGTATCCTTTTAGAAAAGGTTTGTGCGTAATTTGAAGGAATTTAAAGCAACATCGGTTTCACAGAAATAGTGACACATATGAGCCCAATCCACATGTGTGTATCCAAAATGATTTCTAAATTCAGTTGCAATTTGGGTTTTATGATTATCAGATTTCCTGGTGTACAAAGGTGTCTGCTAGTTTTACATCTGGTAATGATGACGGAAAATGACTGAGCCAGCAGTTTGGCAAACAGATCTTAATAATTTATAAACATGATTCACTATCTCTAAAATGCTCCAACCGTAACCCTTACTACACCTACCAGCATGAACTCACAAGACTAACAGGTTATTTACTAAGCTACATTCTTCTTTTGTTTAAAATGTAAATCATTACAAAAGCAGTTCTAAAAATAGTCATTAAATTACCATTCAAATTTTGCAAACCCACCTTGACATATTCTGAATGAGCTGAATTTTAGTAAAATTATTTTAATCAGAAGCAGGCCTAAATATCCTTGAATGTCAGCATTTCAGGGGGGAAGAATACTGGCATACTGACTGCTCAAAGGGTAAAAGTAAGTAAAACTAAAAGAAGCTGGGGATCCTTGGCTCCCCTGTATATTTGCATCTTGTATAATAGTGTCATGGTTAATAAATCCAACCCCGATCTGTACTGGATGTCCTTTCCTATATTCATCTTGGTCAACAGTTGGTATGTATAGGCATGGTGACTTGTTTTTATTTATTTTTAATTATTTCCCCTTTTACTGCAAACTGCTTTATTGGTTTCTTTCGTCCTAGTATTTTCCCTCTTGTAATAATTTTTATGCTATTGAAAACTTTGCAATAAAAAATCTATAAAAAGCTAGAAATGTTAGAATATGAGAGGGTTCATGAATAGTGATGTCTCGAACGGTTCGCCGCGGACTCATTATTGAGTAAACTTTGACACTGTACCTCACAGTCAGCAGACACATTCCAACCAATCAGCAGCTGACCCTCCCTCCCAGACCCTTCCACCTCCTGGACAGCTCACTAAGAATGCAGCTTCACAATGAATGTAAAATGGATGCTGTCCAGGAGGTGGGAGGGTCTGGGAGGAAGGGTCTACTGTTGAGTGGCTGGAATGTGTCTGCTGACTGTGAGGTACAGGGTCAAAGTTTACTCACTGATGAGTCCGTGGCGAACCGTTCGCGGCGAACCGTTCGGGACATCATTATTCATGAACCTAAAGTGGCTCAATCACCTCACATAAAAAATGTTTAAAAACTTTATGAAATACTCAAGCTGACTGTATTGGAATTTCATTTACATTCCAATACAAATCAAAAGATATAAGACAAAGTAGAAACTAACTTTGTCTTACGATAAAGCCCTAAGATTCCTCCCTGAAGTTTTGTCAATTCCACCAGTAGTCGCTAGTAATCTCTGTAAATGTGCACGATTACAGCACTGACATAGCACCTAGCAGAAGACAGGTGCTGAAGACAGAAGATTAAAGTGCCAGGTAATGAAGACAGCGGATGGCAGAAGCCAGAGGCTACAGATTCTGGTAAGTATACCTTTCATTGCACCCCTCAAAATCTGCACTACCAGCAGCAATGTCACCATATGGAGCCTTTTACAACAGAGCTCGATAAATTCCAGGCACCTGGGAATATGGGATATTTGTCAGCCTATTCCCTCCAAAGCTGGAGGACGGCTGAGGGAGAGTACAGGCGGGAGGCCATCTGTAAGAAATAGAGCCAGCGAGGGAGTTGTAATCTTCTTGCTCTGTTCTTTCGTGCGCCCTCAGTGATGCCGGAATATGACGTCACTCCAGCCCCGGCTTCACTACATAGAGCACAAGTGAGCAGAGCAAAAAGAGCTTGAAGATAACCGCAGCCCCCCTGGACCCTAGGGAAAGCCATCCACTCCAACTCTCCCATATGTAGGAAGGCTGGGTGGACTTACATTGAGTTAAAATAAATTAAAATGTGTGGGTGTGTTAGAGAATGTGAGTGTCTGTCTGTCAGTGAGTGTGTCTGTGAATCTGTCTTTGTGTACATGTGTGTCAGTTGGTGTATGTGTGTATATCTATTTGTCTGTCAATGTGTGTGTCTGTCAGTGTGTATGTTTAGGTGACATGCCCTCCTCTGATCGCATGGGTAAGGTGTTTTTACTAACCTTTTTTCCCCACTCCATGCCAGTCTCGCTGTGGCTAGCAAGCTTGATGATCTCATACAATCCAACGCTTTCCCATAGAATAGCATTGGGACGCTATTGCACATACACAGCAAAATGCTGCACCAATTGAATCAATGTATATCTATTGGGACCATTCAGCACTTTCATGCAGAGCGTGGATACACGCAACGTACGTGCTGCACACTGTGATAGGAAGCACTTTAGTGGCCATCTGAGTGACTGTCACTACAGCTGTTACTAGGCAAGAATGTAAATACTGCCTTTTCTCTGAAATAACTACATTAAGCTGCAGTGGTTCTGGTGACTATAGAATCCCTTTCAGAATTTCTTTTGTCATCAAAGAAAGTGGTGTTAGTTTAGAAAAAAAAACGGCTCCTAACCTTTTTAGCTGGCACCTAGAATAAAAGCAAGTTTGTCCAGCCCTGCTTTAAAAATATACAAAAACGGTGACAATTGTTTCTTGCAAAAGCTGTAGTTCTTATGAACAAAACCCTTTGCAAGTCCTTCCCTTTTCCATGGAAGTGACTAACAGTGGAGTGGTGCTTTAAAGAAGAAATTAAAGAGCAGCTGATGGACTGCAAATGTATTATAATAAAATATTTCCAAGGTGCCTCACAGATAAAAGTGACATAGCTTCAATTCATAGACAGTAAGGAGAGAAGGGTCTAGGCAACCTTCGGCACTGCAGATGTTTTGGACTACACCTCCCATGATGCTTTGCCAGCATTATGTGTGTAAAAGCATTATGGGGGATGTAGTCCACAACATCTGGAGTGCCGAAGGTTGCCAATCCCTGCATACAAGAGTCACAACATTTCAACTCAACAAGCAAGTCTTTATCAGTTTGATAAAGACTTTTTTGTTGATTCAAAACGTTGCCTTTTCATTTCCAATAAGGTCTGCTCGGATTGATCCTTGTGTGTCTGGACACTTACTTTTTAAAGCAGGATTTTCATTTGTGAAACTTTTTGTTATGTTATGCTGTTTATTTAACTAACAAAATCTCACGTCTTTAATTTTAATTCACAAGGCATGCAGGGCTATAAGGCCATGAAAAAAGTGATAGTTCCACTTAAAGCAAATGTACATTCTGATACATTAAAACGTTTCATACATATTGTATCAACCAATGTTATATGATGCATTTTGTATCTTTCTTTTGGTATTGAAATTGACAGAAAGGAAAACGTTTGAACGTAAGCTATTTGTTCTCCAAATAAACCATATTTGCTTCCGTCCCCACCTATTTACAGTGAATAAATGGTACAATATGTGACAAAAAAGCAACAGAGTGTGTTAAACCCACACCTCTATATATAACTGTACAAAATTTTGACTTATCGTAATAATGAAACAGCTTCCTCTCGGGATGTTCCAGACTTTATCCCGTACAAATAGAATATATATATTATATATAAATGGCAGAGGAGTATAGCCATCAGTCTACATGAAATTAAAAGGGCAGAAGATATGACAATTTATATGAAACACACTGTGCAATAAGGGAAGTTAACCTCCTTGAAGGAACACTATAGGGTCAGGAAAACAAACATGTAATCCTGACTCTATAGTGCTACAACCTCCATTGGGTGGCATGCCCCCCTTATGAGGCAATAAAACTTACCTTATTTCTCTGAAAAGTCAGTGTTTACATGAAAATGCCTGCAGGGTTTACTCACCAGAACAACTACAATAAGCTGTATAGTAGCTGTTCGGGTGACTATAGTGTCCCTTTAAAGGCATTAGAACGTTTGTTCCATGATAAGGTATTGTTGCATGCTGCAAAAAGGGTTTTGGCATCTTGTCTACTGGACTAATACTTACACACACACACAATTTCCCTCGGTGTATTTTGATATTAACCCCTTAAAGCTGCACTGTCATGCTGAACTTACCTTTCTTTAATAGATTCCTCTTCTCTCCCCCTGTCAGGATCTTTTCTTCATTTCTTCCTGTCTGCTCTAGTATTCTTTAAAACATAAGACTACTTTGTAGTAGGGACTACTTTGTCTTGTGGAGGTTTCTTAAGGTATGACCAGCGGCGGAGCAAAGTGTGCTTCATTTCCGGTGGTCAGAGCAATTTTCCCACAATTCTCACCTTTGATCCGTGATCTTGCGAATTTCGTCCTAACAGAATGAGAACAGTTTCTCCATTTGTGTTAGGATGCAATTGACCAAAGTATTGCAAACGGGGTATGTTCAGTCTTTTTTAGTAGCCACCCAGTCCCAAACACTGGCCAAAGTTAGCGTTAATATTTGTTTGTGTGTGAAAAATGCAAAAAAATTATTTCAATGCCAGTTTTGGCCAGTGTTTGTGACTAAGTGGCTACTAAAAAGACAGGACATACCCCATTTGCAATACCTTGTGTTGTCTACTATTGCAAATGGTATGCCATCATGGGGGAAACACAAGCCTTATATTTGACTCTGTAACTTTTGAAAACCCTGTAAAACCTGTACATGAGGGGCATTGTCATACTCAGGAGATTTGGCTGAACACAAATATTAGTGTTTCAATACCTTAAAACATATCACAACAATTATATCGTCAGTGTAAGTGCCGTTTGTATGTGAAAAATGCAAAAATCTTCACTTTCACTGATGATATCATTGTTGTAATACATTTAACTGTTTTGAAATACTAATATTTCTGTTCAGCGAAGTCTTCAGAGTAAAACAGTACCCCCCCATGTACAGGTTTTATGCTGTCTAGGAAAATTAGAGGGTTAAATATATGATCTAAGTATATATTATTTTATTTTACACCATTTAACCTTTATTTTACTTTATTACAGGCAGCAGGGGGACTACCTGTCATTCCAGGCACTCCCCATGCTGGCACTGCTATGGACGGCTATGCCATGAAGGTATGCCATGATGGTGGTAATTCTCAATTCTGGGCTGCTATCTGGTCTGAAAGGCAACATAGGCCCAGCAAACCAAAATGTCAAATTTCAATTTCTAAAAACTAAAATAGGCAAGCCCTATATTGACCCTGTGACTATCTGAAATACCATAAAACCTGTGCATGCAGTTTTACTGACTAGTAGCAGCATAATCTGGAGAAAGGCTGTTTTCCTATTTAGCAATTTTAGGTTTTCCTTCCTGAAAATAAGGAGACTCAGCAGTTCAATGCTTAATATTATGTTGGATTAGTCTTCACAACAACTTTAATAAAAATGGCAGCACCAAAAAAAAAAAAAAATCCCTCTGCTCTCCTCCCATAGCAATGCACTGTGGTTGCTATGGAAACTCCCTATCTAGAGCTTTTAGCACTGGCTAGGGAGTCCTAGGAGTAGAGTGACATCACTGAAGAGATTTGCCCTGCTTGTGGATGCGTTCCAAGCAGGGCGAATCAAAGAAGGCTTCGGACAGAGCTAAGGTGGAGAGAAGGAAAGTCAGGTCAAAAAGAGGTGCTGGAATTGAGATGAAGTAAGTAAATTTTTATATTTTACATTGATTAGACAATGTATCTTTAGTTCAGGTTTTCATGACAGGTTCATGTTAAAGTTGTATTCCCGACACTATAGTTCTAAAACCACCGTTTAGGTGGTCAGCCTCAGTCAAGGAGGCAGGGCGGAAGCAGGCCAAACACCACCCTGGCCATTCAGCTTCTCATCATAGAAAATGCATTGAATCAATGCATCAAGGTCAGCGCCTCCACGCTCTAAAGTCTACAAAAAAATTTACATTAAAAAGCCTGCAGGGACATACTATACTAAGCTGTAGTTGTTCTGGTGACTAAAGTGTCCATTTAAGCTATGGTCCAGCAAAAGTATAAAGGTCAGCCTTAGGCATTTCCACATCATGCTGAGTCAAGCAAACACTATCTGAGTTCTTTACTTAAGTGAGAATTCAAAGTGAAGTTAAATTTTAATGGACCACTTCACACCCATAAAGCTTCCTGAAGTACTTTATAGGTGAAGAGTGTCCCACAATTGCAGTTTTTTTAATAATTAAACTCCCCTTGCTGTCAAACATCCAGGAGGGTTTCTTCCTGCATCTATTAGCTCTACTTGAGTGTGCCTGCCTCCCTCCGCACTCCTCAGATTAGACCTCAGTTCAGCATGCTTTAAGTGCACACTCACGCATCAGCCAACACATGCACACACCAGGTGCACGCACATGCATGGAGGAAGACTGTCCCGTGAAAAGATTGAAAGTCTCTTCCAGGGAAAAGGCATAGGGCTGGCAAAGTTGCAAAATGAATACATTGGGATATATCTACTAAACGGTGAATTATATATGTTTTGCCCATTTGGGCAGTAGAGTGTTCCTTTAAGGCCAGAGTAGCTAAAATGAAAGCATCGCTAAAATAGCAAATTTTTCCAGTTGGCTATATTGACCTTAAATATGAAATTCTCTTTGAATTGTCAATTTAGTAAATAACCCTATGTATGGTGCAAAGTAGCAAACAGCGGCAGCCAGCCTCAGTGTATATACAGGATATAATATGCAGTTACCAACTGCATTACATTTTTATGTTACGGAGACATGTAAATTTACATTATTTAAAGGAGAACTGTCATTCCCCATTGTAAATAGGTTTACTTTATTATTATATTTAACAAATAAGTACCTACTATATTTAACAAATAAGTATTGTGAGGGTGTGGAAAATAAAATAAAATGTTGACATCCACACTTCCTGAGATTGGATGCTTCCCCCTTAGCTCAGTCATTGTTATAAGCTCTGTCCTTTGCATCTGGCAGTCAGCAAAGACATTAAAGTGGTTATGTCACCATCTGGGGTCTCTGCATATTTTCCAGAAACCCCTGATTGTGACATTGCCATTTGCAGTGCAGTTGCCTAGGTGTACAGGGGAAGCTAAGTTTTATTTAGTTTTTTTCGCTTAATCTGTTAGATTCTCTTCAGCTCCTGGTGCTTTATCTGCCAGAAGCCTGTGAAAATTCAACACTGAGATCTATATGATACCACAAGGGCAAGGGTGCCCAAAAGGTAGATCCCCAGATGTTGTAGAACTAAAACTCCCATGATGCTCTGCGTGCCTTTACAATGACAACACATCATGGAAGCTGTAGTTCTACAATATCTGGGGATCTAATTTTTGGGGACCCCTGCACTAGAGTCTCCACAAACAATGCCTTTTACCCCAAAGACATAATTATTGACAGCTGGGAAACATGACAAAATATGGTGGCAGTAGCTCCAACTTTTGTCAAGTGCTGTCAGGCATAGAAAATATACATAAGACAAAGCAGTATATCTTTTGACTGCATGGGAATTTCAGTGGAATTTCAAGAAAGTCAAGTGAGTATTTGAAAAAGTTTGACTCTTTATGAAATACTTTTTTGGATGGGGGGTGGGGGGGTGCTGTGACAGGAACAGCTTTAAAAATAGTTTGTATTTTTCCTCTTCATTCCCAATGTTTGCCAGTCTTACCTAGATATTGATGTAATTTGCTAAATATTTAATGAGCTAATCCATCCACCATGACCACTTCAGTGTTTTGCAGTGATTATGGTGATATAAGTATGTATGTGCAGCATCACAGCTTGAAACAGGGCACATACAAAGATATTGGCATGTAATGGGGCAAGTGACTTAGGCTACTCGGAACTCTGTCAATTATGTGCATATTTTAAGTCAGTCATCAGCAAGCAGAGCCTGCAAGGGAAAGGGTGTTCTCTATTCCACTTTCCTGCCTCCACACAGTTCCTTTTCAATTTTTTTTTTTTTTATTTATTTTTTTTTAAATTTCCCTCCCCGGCCAAACAGTCCAATCACCTATGAGGCACCCTGCCGACGTCGGATGTAGGAGGGTTACCAGGAGCTTTGTTTTAAAGTTATTTTTTTTTTTTTAAACTTAATTAAACAAGGGAATAGGGACCTATTAGTAATGCCCAATGGAAATCAATAAATAAAAAAAAAAAAAAAGGAATGTTTGAGAAGGGTCAAAGTAACCCTTTAATATAAAAGTTTATAGAATTTTATCACGACAGGAGGCTTCATATTTTGCGTAATCTTCCTTTACTACTCCATACAGCAAAGACGTATAGCGTTCGGTAGTTTCCCTTTGGGTTGTTCATTCGTGAGTTTTCTGTGTTCGTTTTTTCCTCCGTTCAGTTTTTTCCTATATTACTGTTCTGTCTCTGTTCAAGCGACCATTCGACAGATTTCCTGCAAACACATTTCGCAGGTTTTTTCCACAGCTACTTTGGATCACACCTCGTGAGATCCACGGCGGCCATTTAACCCTTGCCGGTTGCTAGCAATTAAACAGGGGTGAGACCCTGATTTATAAATGTACCCTAGCTTATGCTAGCTACTGCTTTTACTGGAATACTTCTCTGCTAACATTACTTGGGGTGAGCCCCCATCATATTGTTAAATACCCGGGTACCTTTAATTGCCAGAAAATATTGGTTATTTGATCTGTCTGTCACTTTTACAGCTCATATGATTGGCTTCTCTGTGCCACCGTACCCCCCTACAGGATACACTCCTGCAGGTTTTATTATTACAGAATATATATATTGGAAATTGGCTTCTGTTCACCTTGCCTACTACAGGAACCTGTCAAGGTTAGTATTAACCTAGGGGTTCAGCCGGTCAGGTTTATACCTAGTAACCCGGGGCAGGTGAGCACCCATATACTGCTGCCGAGTGTAGCTGTGCTTGCAGTCTCCTTTTACCTGGGTGACCCCCAACATTGCCTTTACATACATTACTATGACCCGAGAAACATTCGCCACCCACGCTCGGGAGATTGGACACATGCACTTTCGTGCTGTGGAATGTACTGTACAAAGAAGTCCACAAGCGGCTGAGATCAGAGTGCACTCCAGATAAGGTTGCCTATACCCCAGAATTTGACCAGATGATGCTGGCCTTCATGGCACAAGGGAGTAGAGACCCAAGGAAAGGGGTTGAGAAAGGGTAAAAGGGAGCCCAGGATAAGCTCCTTGATGCGGTCAGGCCACTCACCCGGGTTCTGACCCTAACTGATGAGGCATACACCCTGGCTGACTCCTTTCAGCAGACAACGCACGCGATGTTCATGAGTGGACCCAGAGAGGTTTTTGCTTCCTGGGCAACACAAATGTGGCCCTCTTTTCGGAGATGCTGGGCAGCCTTATTCCGAATTGATGGCAAATTGGTCAACCGGAGGGCTAAAGAATTGGGCCCACAGGCCTCCATTGCGGCTTTCTCTCTATTAACTTAGCGTTAAAAGTGCAAAATATGAAGCCTCCTGTCATGTGATAAAATTGAACATTATGCTAGCTTTAGTGTACTAATAATCTTAATAATAACAGGAGGCAAGCATTTCCCCCCTCCCCCCCATTCAGGTGGGTTCGCATCTCCTGGTAGGTCATGTATGTTATCAATATGATAATGGTCATTTTCTTGTGACTACGTAATTGACTCTATTCACTCTAGATAAAAAGTTGATATATGTATAGATAATCTATATTAGGTAGCTATAGTATGGTACGTATGTTAAATTTTATAGATCACGATAGATTGTGATAGTACCAATTTATTGCGCCCCTTTTAAGTGAGGGTTACTCATATTGTTCAGGTTTACATTTCATATCACTAAAAATGCACTCGTTCTCTTTCAGCCTAAAAGATATAAAGAGATCTTCTATATCAAACGTACAAGTATATTCGTTCTTCCTAGTTTTGAATGAATCTAAGCGTTCATCGTTCCTGGAATTTGAACGGTCTTCGTTATTCCTTATGGTTCTTCAGTTGATTGTGTGACTGGTGATGTTGATGTTATCAAGAGGAAGTGAAAGGCGTATCTTATACTCTCTGCCTGTCTCTGATTGGTTCCTTTTTTTCTCTCTATGTCTTTGCTGCTATGGAGTAGAAAAGGAAGATTATGCAAAAGACTCGCCTCCTGTCATTATTAAAATTAAGATTATTAGTACACTAAAGCTAGCATAATCTTCAATTATTTCTCAATGGTTTATTCAAGGAGTCTAGAGAAATAATTTCCTTTTTAACATACTTCTAAAGCACGGTTTCAATATACAGAACAGCACCTATAATAGCAAAGTTTCATGGGGAAAAAAAAATAAATCTCATTATGGTCTATGGATCTGATCCAGTAAGAGTTCTCAGGCAACATCGTTCAATCCTCAGCAGTTTTACATAATTTCAAAACATGCTTCTAAAGAAGCATCATTATTATATAAAATAATCTAAACATTGTCTCCTTAGAAACATAGTAACATGAGGTAGGAGAACCTCTAGACACTCCAGAGTGAAAGTGATTTTAATGCATTATATAGTTTTCAAGAAAAATAATATAATACAAAACAAAACCAAACAACAAAGCACAAAAATAAAGCTGCTGATCAAGGAAAGGTGGATTGGCAGATAGTCCTATCACAGACCAGGAAACCAACCAGAAGCCTCTCATAATGGTCTATGTGGCGTGATCTTACGAGTTACGTAGTGAAACACCCCTGCTCAGTTCCACTCATGCTATTTGATGTGCGGAACTGCTGAAAAAGCAGATAACAGCCATCCTGTAAATGCTGTTTAGAGAGTTGTGCATAGTATTTTTCAGAAGTATGTGCGCAGCTGTGGCTCAGGTAGAGTTAGTAGTGTGTGAATTTTCTATGCATCAGTTGAACAGATTTGCACAGCATACTAACACGTACATTCATAATCTATGCCTGAAATGAGCATATGTCGTTATGGTACTAATAGTTTGAACTCAAAGGGACACTCCAGACATCAACACAACTTGTTTGCATTCTTATAGCTTTTGGCCTATGTAATAAGATAAAATAAGTAATTGTTGCAAAAGAAAAAGTGATTTGCAGCATTCTGCATCTTAAAGGAACACTATAGTCACCTAAATTACTTTAGCTAAATAAAGCAGTTTTAGTGCATAGATCATTCCCCTGCAATTTCACTGTCATTTAGGAGTTAAATCACGTTGTTTCTGTTTATGCAGCCCTGGCTATGATTGACAGAGCCTGCATGAAAAAAAAAAAAAACTGGTTTCACTTTCAAACAGATGTAATTTACCTAAAATAATTGTATCTCTATCTCTAAATTGAGCTTTAATCACATACAGGAGGCTCTTGCAGGGATAAGAAAATTTTAATTAAACAGAACTTGCAATAAAGAAAGCCTAAAAAGAGCTCTCTTTACAGGAAGTGTTTATGGAAGGCTGTGCAAGTCACATGCAGGGAGGTGTGACTAGGGTTCATAAACAAAGGGATTTAACTCCTAAATGGCAGAGGATTGAGCAGTGAGGCTGCAGGGGCATGTTCTACACACCAAAACTGCTTCATTAAGCTAAAGTTGTTCAGGTGACTATAGTGTCCCTTTAACCCCTTAAGGACACATGACATGTGTGACATGTCATGATTCCCTTTTATTCCAGAAGTTTGGTCCTTAAGGGGTTAAAGGTACACTGTAGACTCCTAAAGCACTTCAGAAGTGCATTATGTGTGAACAGAGTGCTCTCTTTTTTGTATTTGTCAAAAAGTGCAGATTTTAAAGGCACTTTTCTAAATTAACATTGTTACACACATCCTGGCTCTCAATCCGACATCTATTTACTTCCTGGTAGTTTTCAGTGAAGCTAAACTCAAGAGGCAGGAAATTCCCCAGAAAGATTGTTCATTGAGCTTGGGGAAGAAGGGGATGGCTTTCTAAAGTTTTAGACAAGGGATCTCCAGCTTTTATAAGCTGTTTTTAGATATATCTCAAAACAATGCATAATTAAATGCATGCATGTTTTCATTGGTCGGTATATCAACTAAACAGTAATTTTTATTTCGGCAGTGGAGTGTCTCTTTAAGTATGACCCCACCGCCCTTTTTCCTCATTTTAAGATACTTTTTAGTTGGGGATTCCTAGACAAAGGTATGTGATATTAGTGTTCCATAACCAGACGCTTCCTATCTCCCTTCTATGCAGTGTATATGGTTATGAAGCTTGGAGTATTCCTTCAAAAGAAACACTCCATTAATAAAAAAAAATATATATATATATATATATATATATATATATATATATATATATATATATATATATATATATATATATATATATTAGATTAACTTGCAAAGAAAACATGCACAGATTTTGTGTCTGCAGCTATTGCAAGCCCTCCACTTGTTCAGTCTTTTTCCCCATCTTCTTATTGAGATGGTCTAACCACTAACTAACACACTGATTTCATGTATAGGTTTTCACAGGGGGCTGCGTATGTGTTTGTTTATACGCACACACAATTGCAGAGTTAATTTTTGTGTATAGGAATCTGATAGTGCTTGCCCACACACATGCACTTCCTTTAGCTCAGCTAACAAACGGAAGTAATCCCTCTGGCTCTCTGATTGCACATGGGGTGCTGCATTAATTATAAACATGCTGACTTCTATTGAAAGCAGCACTTATCAACTGAAAAAATTAAATACTCTACACATATAGCCAAAGTGCTTTATGGGTTTGGAGTGTTCCTTTAATTAAACATTTCCAAGAGTTTGGGCTCAACAGTCCAGAATATTATTATGGTATGTGTAAAAATCAAGGCCAAAGATTTGACACAATGTAAGTCTCGCTCAATTACTTTCAATTTTTTTTTTTTTTTAATTCTTTACATTAACTATATAAAGCATTAACATATAATTAGTTCCAATCTGGAATGCCCTTTACAAGGGGTACTTGCATTTACCACCAATAGACAATGCATTTGCATGAATGCATTAAAAGACCTATATTGTCATGTTTTATCAACATTGCATTATTGATAAAAATAAAATAAAAAAGTGACATTTTCTTTACCATCCCTGGTCTCTTATACTCATGTCTGCTAGATAATTTCTAGGTTAAAAAAAATAATAATACTGGGCAATGGAAGAGAAAAAAAAATCTTGACCAACTAGCCCTTCTCATTAACTTTAGACAATTAAAGTAATTAATGAAAACTTTTGGAGATCATAGGCAAGAGTACATAGCTATGTTGTAAGTCCTTGAGGACATATCAGGTGACATTGGTACATTTTGAATAAAATGTCATTCTTTATTTCAATAAAATAAAAAACACAGGTTTTACGGTTTTAAAGTTACACAAGATAAGCTTTGTGAATTTGAGACAGCCTGTGTGGACACTCTCCCATTTCCATCAGTGGTCAATAACTGAAGGCTAGTGGCACAGGCATCTTCTTGCACATAATTTAATAATGATCCTAATGAGTTTCAACATCTTTCAGGATTTTCAGATGGGGATGACTTGGCATTCTCAAGCTTGTGAAGTAATACAATAGAGTATTAGTTTCATTAGAATACTGCACAGCTATAGTAGCCTTACAAAAATGTTCTCACTTTAAGGTACCACGAGATGCACAATGACTCCACTGACTCAATTATATACTGCCCACTAATACGAGTTCTAAAAAGGTAACAGATTAATTGGAATGTTTCCTTAATTTACATGATTGATGCAACATATATACCAACGTTATTTTGCCACAGAGTTTCTCTTAATAGAACCAACACACTGATCATGTCTTCCTTTATAAAGTAAAAGGGTTTTTTTTGTTTTTTTTTAGTTTCTTTCATTAACAAAACTGAGTGGGTTAATACTGTAATAGCAAGGCCCATGTTCTTCGCTCCTGACAAACCAATATTATGCTGTCACTGAAGGCGAAAGCCAGTGAGCAGGACACATTATACTGATATTTGGTTTTCTTGAGAGAGTGTGTGTGAGTGTGTGAGTGAGTGAGTGTGTCTACACACAAAAAAATGTTATGGTGGGGAAAAATTTGGATTGAAAACCCCTTCCATCTGAAGTCTGTGGATAGCTTAATAAAGCTATTTTGGCGTATAGATCATGCCCCTACAGTCTCACTGCTCAATTCTCTGCTATTTAAGAGTTAAGTCACTTTGTTTAGGAACCCTAGTCACACCTCCCTGCATGTGACTTAAACAGCCTTCCTAACAACTTCCTGCAAAGAGTCAGCTAAAATTTATGCTTCCTTTATTGCAAGTTATGTTTAATTTAAATTTTCTTATCCCCTGCTATGTTAATAGCTAGATCGTGCAAGAGCCTCCTGTATGTGATTAAAGTTCAATTTACAGAGCAAGAGATAAAATTGTTTAAGGTAAATTACATCTGATTAAAAGTGAAACGAGTTTTGGTTTTTTTCATGCAGCCTGTTTCAATCAGAGCCAGGGGAGGTGTGGCAAAGGCTGTATAAACAAAAACAAAGCGATTTAATTCTTAAATGGCAGTGAATTGAACAGTGAAACTTGAGAGGCATGATTTATACACTAAAATTGCTTCATTAAGCTAAAGTTGTTTACTTGACTATAGTGTTCCTTTAAACAAAAATCTGCACACCAGTTAAGCTATAAGACTTGCTTTTCCCACAGAAATCACAAATGTGCAGTGATGTATGTTACTTCCGCAAAGGATTATGGGCATTTGCATCTTTGGTGTGGTGTTTCAAAGCTGTTGTATACAGCAAACACAGACTCAAAGGAATCCATGTTTAAAATGGAATGAGGGAGAAATGTGATTCTTTGTTAAACTAATTTGAATATGCCCACCCAGAATCCTTTGGGGTAGTAACATCACTGCAAATTTGTGATTTCTGTGGAAAAAGCAAGTCTTATAGCTTGGCTGGTGTGCAGATTTGTTTTAACATTGTATTAAAACACACACACACACACATATATATATATATATATATATACATATATACACACACACACACACACACACACACACACACACACTATTGAGGCACACATTAAAAAAAAAATTTTTTTAAAACATAGAAACAGAATGTGACGGCAGATAAGAACCATTCGGCCCATCTAGTCTGCCCAATTTTCTAAATACTTTCATTAGTCCCTAGTCTTATCTTATAGTTAGGATAGCCTTATGCATATCCCACACATGCTTAAACTCCTTTACTGTGTTAACCTCTACCACTTCAGCTGGAAGCCTATTCCATTCATCCACTACCCTCTCATTAAAGTAATACTTCCAGATATTATTTTTAAACCTTTGACCCTCAAATTTAAGACTGTCCACTTGTTGTGGTAGTTTTCTTCTTTTAAATATAGTCTCATCTTTTACTGTGTTGATTCCCTTTATGTATTTAAATGTTTCTATCATATTCCCCCCTGTCTCGTCTTTCCTCCAAGCTATACATGTTGAGTTCCTTTAATCTTTCCTGGTAAGTTTTATCCTGCAATCCATGCAGCAGTTTAGTAGCCCTTCTCTGAACTCTCTCTAAAGTATCAATACTCCAAGTGAGGTCTCACCAGTGTTCTCTACCATGGCATGAGCACTTCCCTCTTTCTACTGCTAATACCTCTCCCTATACAACCAAGCATTCTGCTAGCATTTCCTGCTGCTCTATTACATTGTCTGCCTACCTTAAAAATCATCAGAAATAATCACCCCTAAATCCCTTTCCTCAGATGTTGAGGTTAGGACGCTATCAAATATTCTGTACTCTGCCCTTGGGTTTTTACATCCATGATATCACCAATAAAAATATTAAAGAGAATGGGTCCAAGTACAGATCCCTGAGGTACCCCACTGGTGAAAAGCCCATGCTTTGAATATACTCCATTGACTATAACCCTCTGTTGCCGGTCACTCAGCCACTGCCTTATCCATTCAACAATATTGGAATACAAACTTAAAGATTGGAGTTTATTGATAAGCCTTCTATGTGCAACAGTGTCAAATGCCTTACTGAAATCTAGGTAAGCAATGTCTACTGCACCACCCTGATCTATTATTTTAGTTACCCAATCAAAAATATCAATAAGATTAGTTTGGCATGATCTCCCTGAAGTAAACCCATGTGTTTTTAGATGTTCAACAATCCGATCCTTTAACATGGTTTCTATTACTTTCCCCTCTACTGAAGTAAGGTTTACTGGCCTTTAGTTGCCCAACTCCTCCCTACTACCTTTCTTGTGAATGGGCACAACATTTGCTTACTTCCAATCTTCAGGGACTACACCTGTTAACCATGATTGGTTAAATAAATCTGTTAATGGTTTTGCTAGTACACCACTAAGTTATTCCATCAGGTCTCATTGACTTTTTTGTCTTTACTTTTGACAGTTGAAATATAACTTCTTCCTCTGTAAACTCACATGTAACAAATGACTAATTTGTCCTTTTTCCTAACTGAGGCCCCTTTCCTTCATTTTCATCTGTAAATACTGAACAAAAATATTAATTGAGGCAGTCAGCTAGAACTTTATCCTCTTCTACACACCTTCCTTTTTTTTTTTTTTTTTTTTAAATCTAACTAAACCTTGTTTTACTTTCCTTTTCTCATTTATGTATCTAAAAAATGTTTTGTCCCCTTTTTTTATACTGACAGTGCTATTCTCTCTTCTGTGTGTGACTTGGAAGCTCTTATAACTTGCTTAGCCTCTTTCTGCCTAATCTTATAGATCATTCTGTCTTCCTCACTTTTTTTTTTTTTATAATTACTAAATCCTAACTTTTTGTTTTTTACTATTTTGGCCACATCTGCAGAGTACCACAGTGGCTTCTTGAATTTTTTGCTTTTACTGACAAGCCTAATGCAATTTTCTGTTGCCTTCAGCAGTGCAACTTTTAAATAATCCAATTTCTCTTGGACTCCATTTAAATTGCTCCAGTCTGATAATGACTCCTTTACACATATTTTAAATTTTTGAAAAGTCTGTTTGTCTAAAAGTCTAAAACTTTTTCTTTTTGTGTGGTGTGACTCAGTCACTGTTCTTAAATTAAACCACAGTGAGTGAGGATCACTAGATCCTAAACTTTCACCTACAGTAATATCTGGTACCAAATCTCCATTTGTTAACACTAAATCTAGTCTGGCCTCTTTACAAGTTGGCTCCTAAACGACTTGTTTTAGAGACAATCCCAGTAGGGAGTTTAGATTATGTGTGCTCCTGGCACAAGCAGCTATTTTGGTTTTCCAATTCACATCAGGAAGATTAAAGGACCACTCTAGCTTAATGAAGTGGTCTGGGTGCCAGGTCCTTCTAGGGTTAACCCATTTTTTAATAAACATAGCAGTTTCAGAGAAACTGCTATGTTTATGAATGGGTTAAGCCTTCCCCTATTTCCTCTAGTGGCTGTCTCATTGACAGCCACTAGAGGCGCTTGCGTGCTTCTCACTGTGATTTTCACAGTGAGAGCACGCCAGCGTCCATAGGAAAGCATTATGAATGCTTTCCTATGTGACCGGCTGAACGCACGCGCATTCAGCCCAGGAGGAGGAATTGAGGAGGATCGGAGGAGGAGAGCTCTCCGCCCAGCACTGGAAAAAGGTAAGTTTTAACCCCTTTCCAGAGCCAGGCGGGAGGGGGACCCTGAGGGTGGGGGCACCCTCAGGGCACTATAGTGCCAGGAAAACGAGTATGTTTTCCTGGCACTATAGTGGTCCTTTAAAGTCACCCATGATGATAACTTCCCCCTTCATTGTCATTTTAGCTATTTCCTCAACTAGTAGATTATCTAACTCTTCTATTTGTCCTGGGGGCCTATAAATAACACCTACACGAGTTACTGTGTATTTACCAAATTGTAACGTAACCCAAACGGACTCCATGTTCGCCTCACTAACTTTTATTAGGCTAGATTTTATGCTATCAATCACATACAGGGCCACCCCTGCCCCTTTCTGGGCAAATCTAAAAAGTGTATCAAAATAATTATTACACAAAACATGGAAAGTGATATCTAAAATGATTGGACGCACACAGACAGGCTGTAAGATGTGTGGTTTGCGTATTCCTGATTTTTACTGGAGTAAAAAACAGTTATTGATATATGGATAGATTTTTATTATTCAGCAATTATATATATATATATATATATATATATACACACACACACACACTCTAACATAACATATATACACACATATATATATTATTGACAAATGGTGCCTGTACATTTCCATGTATGTATTTAATATTATATTGCTGTTGTTGTTGTTCTCCTCCATGTGTCTTTGGGTAGGTGTACATATAAACCAGGTGGGAGCAGCTGACAGGTCTATTTACACATACATGGACACACAGACCCATATAACACAGTAGACATGTGTGGGTACAGCCTGTTCACTGACACTGCTAATAAACCAAGCCGCCAATAATCTCTAATGGCAGTACACATGACTGGCAGGTCAGACACTTACTTCACCCGGGAGCCCATGGTCTCCAGTCTCCGGTATCCCGCCGGGCTCCTCTCTCTCTCACTCCCTCACTCACTCACACAGCGCCATGGTCACCGTGCCGCGCAGGTGCCGCGAGGGGTGCTGGAAGTTGTAGTTCTTCTCGCTCCGTCTACTTCGCCAGCGCCGAGCGACTGGAACTACGACTCCCGAAATGCCACGCGGCGACGGCCGGCACGGGCTCTGCCCATGGCGCACTGCGCAGGGAGACTGTGCTTGTCACAGCTTGAGAAGGTCCGCTGACTGGTGTCTGGTTTACAGAGAACTAGGGCAACGTCCCCTCCAGCAGTCAGCCAATCAGAGAGCGGGAGGGAGATTACAAACCTTCCTGTCACACTATCACAGTGATAGCACTCATTGCAGAGGAATGATGGCTGTGTGGCTATCTCCTTGTTGGCTGTGCATCATGGTAGTTGTGAATGAAAGATGAAGGGTGCTTTGCTCACATAGATATTATATTACATATTTTATTTATTATTTAAGAGTTTTTTTTATAACATTTAAAGACAATACATAGTCCTCAATTCAAAGGAACACTGCAGCCATCATAACAGCTTCATTAGAAGGGAGAAATGAAACAATGTGTCTATGTTGCCTCTTTATTAGTATTGTTTGTCTTGGCATTGCTTAGTCTGAACTGGATTAGGAAGTCATTTGTTATCTATTTAACAAAAATTTAAAGGAAAACAGCATTTTGTGACAAAAAAAAAAGTTGTGGGTGATTTTCAGTGTTTAATGATGTAAGTACCAGATGAGTGACAGTAACCCTTGCAATTATTGTGTTAATAAAAAAAGGGGGGGGAGGGGGGAAGCTCAGCATCATGGACGCTGGCTGCACATCAAGTGAGCTCCTAACTTGACTCGCCTATTTTGCCTGATTTTCAGACCACTAGCTTGCTACAAACAACTCAACCTGGTGCCCTAAGATATACCTCTGAGACTTTGGGGATCCTACCTACTGGTACTCCGCGCGAAAGCCCCACTGCGGTCTAACCCTGCTGCCGCATAGGTGAAACGGCCAATTACCGCTATGCGCAACGTTGCAAATAGTGAAGTCTGCTACACAATCCCTCCCCCCACCCCCCTCTGCATCGATGGGGGATATCCCGGCCCCCACTTGGGCACAAGTACCTTCTGGTTATGAACTGTGGACAGACACAAGACCCACAAGGCGAGCTTAAAATGGCCGCTGAACTGGAGATACTGCAACCACGACCAGACCTCAGTACCCAAGAGTGGCTTAACTCATTCACCGTTAGATTTGATGCGATCTGTCGGAGATTCTGGCGCCAACTGCACAACCAATTCTGGAAGCCTTCACCTCCTGCTGATCTAACACCCCACACTGACAGCCTGGATGTCTCTCCTTCACCCAGGCAAGGGGCCTACTTGGAGCATAGCCAACGCCTGATTACACCTCCAGCCTAACGGAGAAGCGGTGCTGCTGTCCTCAATGACCACTCTTCTTCCGAGCCGGGGCCCAACCGGAGGTAACCCCTCACCGCCGTCCATACACCCAGAAGGCTGTCCAAATTCCGGAAGACCCAGGGGACCACGATCCTGATGATGGTATCACTGGACTTAAGGCACGGGTTCCCCCTAAGGCCTTGGGCCTTGCGGATCCATACTCTGCTGGCAACAGGAAATAATCAGTCTCCACGGACCTCGAGTGTGGATGGATGACATGGGATATGGTTGGCCCTTTCTCAAATGGAGCAGAATCACGAAATACCTGATGGGACTGCCATATACAGGAGTCAGCTGAAAACCAAACATATGCTGAGAGATGTTCTACAGTTCAGCTGGGCCACAGTGACATCAGCAAACATCTCTTGACACACATAACCTTCCCTTTGTTTTAGTTAGACCTGTTGTCTTTTTATCTTTTATTTCACTCTACAACTACTAATAAGCCTAACCCCAGTGATGATTATAGCACACTTTGATGCGATGCTTAGCCTGTGGCTACTAGCATGTAACTCACTGCAGCCTAATAGTTAATCTAGTCCCAGTGGTTAGATCTCACTCTCTACATATCTTCCTTGTAGCCATGCTTATGTATTAGCAATATCACTCATAGAGAGTATAATCCATGTCTTACATATCTGATTTATAGAGTGTATCCAGAGCTTAGACATGTATCTCTAACCTGTTTTCTTATATTAATATAAAAGTGTGCCGAAATACTCAAATGCCATGTAACCATCTAACTATATGTCTTGCTGAGCTTGCCCTAGCTGTCATGGCATTGCACGCCCCATGTTATATCTTGCTTTACAAAAAATAAAAAAGAGAGAAAAAATGTTTTGAGTCCTTTACTGTTTTACCTTTTTTGAATGGAGTGGGCTAAAATCCTGGTAGTCTAGCACGGTTTTTGAATCCCTTATGGTCTGGTGGTGGTTTAAAGGATCACTAAAGGTATCCCCAAGCAATGAAATAGGGTTGTAAGAAATGTAGCAATGTATAAAACCTTTAGGATTCGTCAGTAAAAGGGCATTGTAGTGATTTCATAACTGAATTTACACAATTAAGGTCAACATTTTTCCAATTTTTTTGGAGTCCAGCTAAAATAGAAAACTTTTGCAAGTCTACTATTTTATTCCATGTCATATGTGATGTCATAATGAGGCACAAGGAAGCTAGGGATGAGTGGGTGTGCATCAGAACACAGAAGAGACATAATTTCTGTGATTGCATGGTGCTGCGAAGGACAGGTATTGTGACAGACATTATTTTAAGCCATTATTTCACTTGCCCTATTATAACTGCAAAACAAGCCTATTTGCCACAACAGGTCGTAATTAGTGTTGGTCTTTCTGCAACAAAACAGACGTGATTTCTAAATTCAGCCTACAGGAACTGTCTACTCAGATGCATAGCTGGCAAACCAGAAACTATACATAGTTTATTTTCCTTCATTTATTTAATCCCTTATTTATCACCATGATTGGCTACTAGATGACATTATACCCCAATGGATACATGGTGGATACTTACCTACCATGAGTCAACTACATCTACAGTGAAGAACCATAAATGTTTTTTACCATAGCAACTAGTGAAAACACGATTTTAAAACTTCTGGATTGACATCAGATGTTTTCTCTACTATATTCCAAATAATGGAGAAGTTTATCCAATCTGGAATAACTAAAAATAGGACCCATACCAAACACTACAAATCTTTCTAGAAACCACTAGATATAAGAACAGAGGAAATTTATTTGGCACCGCCAAGTCCTGCCACATCTGATGCCTTGTTCACACCAGATCTTCCTAGTAATAATAATGCATCTTCTCTGGCAGATGAAGTCACTGCCTTGTTATGGCTCAAGCTGGAAGCATAATTTGACACCATACAACACACCGTTGGCGATCTTGCCAATAAAGTGGTAGCTAACTCCTCCAGGCCTAATAGCCTTGAAAACAGATGCAGTGACTTTGAAAACACCTCAGCTCAACTACATGACCAACTTAAAAAGCCATCAGACATCATTACACAACTTCAAAGCCCATAACACCTTATCCAGGATCAGTTTATCTTTGGCTTTCCCTGAGCTAGCACCTAAGCAGGCAAAAATATGCAACATTTTTGTTATACTCCCAACAATCCACAAAAAATAATACAAATGGCCTAGACTCAACATAACTCATAATCATTAGAGGGGTGAAATAGTGCTGCCCAATATCAACTATCATTTTTAATCTAGTGCTAGACTCACTTTTTAGATATATTCACACGTCTACGAACATAAAATGAATTGAACTATTCCCTCACACTATTAAACTTATGTTTTGCTGATGATCTTTTACTGTGTCACATCCCTTCCTAACACAATCTCCCTTTTTGATCGATATGGCCCTATTACAGTTTTTTTTAACTTGATTGGTCCAAGTCAATAGCACTAAGATTAGGCCCTGGCACACCAATAAGACTAAGGTCAAAACCACTCTGTCATGGACATTCTCCCTCCTATCCTCCAGATATTATCCTCCTTGCTACTTCTGGCCCTGGTGAGGGATGATCTTTCTAGAAGTGTGCATCTTACCCTGTATTTCTCAAGAAAAACCACTCTTTTAAATATGTTATAGTGCCCAAACGTCTCAACCTTTGACAGGCTTTACCCATACTACACTCACGGTCAGACAAAAACTCATAAAACAGCTTTTCTCCAAATTTCTTTGGCAACAAAAATGTCCAAGAATCGCAATGCCCAAGCTATCCCAACCTAGTTATAATCTAGGTTTGAATATTCCAAACCTAAAGCTTGATACTTTAGCAGCATACTATTAACACACACTAGACTGGATAAAAGGTGCAGGACAATTCACAGCAGTACATCTAGAAGCACAATTAATTCCTGGAGTGGCACTCTCTCAGTTGCTCCACACCCCACTCTCCTCTGTTCCAGAAGAGGGACGTGAAAATCCTCTATTAGCATTCACTATTAAAACATGGAAGCTGGTGAGAGTAGAGAGTATGTAATCATTTGCAAGGGGAACAGGTTATTTAAGATGGGGATTTTAGATGTCATTATATTGCAAAAAAGTCAATAATTAAAATTCATACTTTTCTTAGATTTTTGCGTATTGTTACAGTGGAAAAATCTACTTATTTGTGCATTTTTCATCAGTTAGAAAAAGTGAATTTAATAAGCAGCAAAAATCTATTATTTATGTAGGTGGTATGTGTATTTTACTCTCTTCCGAGAGCCACAAGACAGCTAAAGAGACAGAGGGGGAGAGGGGAGAAAAAGACAGAGGGGGAAGAAAGAGATGCAGGGGAGGGGGTAGAAAGAGACAGAGGGGGGAAAGAGAGACACAGGGCGAGGGGGAGAAAGTGACAGTGGAGGCTGGGGGGAGAAAGAGAAAGAGAGGGGATAGAGACACAAGGGAAGGGGGACAGAGTGACACAGAAGGTTTGTGGTGGGCAGAGCTGGGCGGGGGGAGAAAGACACACAGAATGGCTGGGAGGAGAGAAAGAGGCACACAGAGGGGATTTGGAAGGGGAGAAAAACAAAGGAACTGGTGCTAAGGCACACACAAAAGGGGCTGGTGGAAATAGACAT